ATAAAGGACAAAAATCTCATGATCATCTCAATAGACACTGAAAAATTATCAGATAGAATTCAACATTATTTATGATAGAAACACCCAACAAACTAGGAATAGAAATGCACTTTCTCAGCCTGATAAAAAACATCTATGACATCTCATAGCATCATCTTACTTAATGGTGAGAGACTGGATGCTTTCCCCCCAGGATCAGAAACAAGACAGGGATGTCTTTTGCCATGTCTAGTCAACTTTGTACTAGAGGATTTAGCCAGGAAATTGGTCAAGAAAAATAAAAGGCATACAGATTGAAAAGTAGGGGTAGAACTATCTTTATTTGCATATGATATGAGCTGGTGTATAGAAAATTCTATGGAGTCCAGATATACAAATAACTATAAGAACAAATAAAGAGTTCAGCATGGTTGCTGGATACAAGGCTAGTATTCAGAAAATCAGTTATATTTCTATATATACAAGCAATGAACAATCTAAGAATGAAATTAAGGAAATAACTATAATTTTACAAGAGCATCAAAAAGAATAAACTGCTTAGGCATAAATTTAACAAATGCAAATTTGTATACTGAAAACTAAAAAACATTGTCAAAAGAAACTTAAGTAGACCTAAAGAAATGGAAATGTACCCCATGTTCATGGATTGGAAGACTAAACACTGTTAAGATGTACTCTCCACACTAACCTATGGATTCAATAAGATCCCTATCAGCATCTTGGCTTGTGCTTTTATAGAAATTGACAAGCTCATCCTAAAACTTAGAAATGCAAAGGACCCAGAAAAATCAAAACAATCTTGAAAAGGAAGCACAAAATTTGAATAATCACATTTCCCCATTTCAAATCTTATTACAGATCTGCAATAATCAAGAGAGTGTATGATTATCATTAAGGGCAGACATATCAATCCGTGGAATAGAACTGAGAATCTAGATATAAACCGTTATATTTATAGTCAATTGACTTTCAACAAAGACACTTTCCTTTCCTTACTAACTGGCAGGGAATACTAAGTGACTGGCAGGTCAATAGGGAAAGGACAGTGTTGTCCATTAATAGTGCTGGGACAAGTGGATGTCTACATGCATTTGAAGAGACTGAAGTTGGACCCATTCCTATATAATATCAATACATACTACAATTATACTACAATTATACAAAAATAACAAAAGTTAATTCAAACTAGATCAAGAGACCTACATGTAAGAGCTAAAACTATAAAACTGTTACAAGAACTCATAGGAATAAATCTTGGTAACCTTGGGTTAAGCAATGGTGCTTTGGATCTGACACCAAAAGCACAAATGACCAAGGAAAAAGGTAAGTGGGACTCCACTGAAATTAAAAATTTTTGTGCTGCAAGTAATATCATCAAGAAAGTGAGAAGGCAATCCACAGAATGGGAGAAAACAATTGCAAGCCATATATCTGATGAGGGACTTATATCTAAAATATGCAAAGAACAATTACAACTAAATAATAAAAAGACAAAAAGCCCAGTTTTTTAGTATGGACAAATAATTTAGTCAGACATTTCTCCCAAAGAGATATATGAAGCACATCAAGCACACTGAACATTATTAGCCATCAGGGAAATGCAAATCAAAACCACAATGAGATATCACTTTCCACCCACTAGGTTGGCTATAATCAGAAAGACAGATAATGATGTTTTGGTGGGATGTGGAGAAAATGAAACTTCCTGCATCGCTGGTGAGATTGTAAAGTTGGGGCAATCAAGTAGAAAACAGTTTGGCAGTTCCTCAAATAGTTAACCATGGAGTAAATATATAACGTGACAGTTCTATTCCTAGGTATATACCTGAGAACTGAAAACATGTATTGACACAAAAACTTGTACGCAAAATATTATAGCAACAGGTTTCTTAACAGCCCAAAGTTGGAAACACCCAAATGTCCCCCAGCTGATAAATATGTAAAATATGCTGTATCATATAATGATTATTACTCAGCTATCAAGAGGAATGAAGTACTGATACGTGCTACAATGTAGGTGACGTTGAAAATATACTAAGTGAAAGATGTCGGTTACAAGATAACACATATGATTCCATTAACATGGAAAGCCTAGTGTAGGCTAACCTATCGACAGAAAGCAGGCTAGTGGCTGCCGGGCTGGGTGGGTTAGTGGGCAGTGACGGTGAATGAGTAGGTAGTTTCTTTTAGGGGTGATGAAAATTTCTAAACTTAGTGGGCATGATTTCACAACTCTGTGACTATACTAAAACCTTTGAACAAGTGACTTGATATTGTCTGTAAATTACATCTCAGCAAATATTTAAAAAACAAAACCCAATGCATAAATTAAAAATCATCAAAAGAAAAGATGCACACCTATGGTGTGGAGGGAAAAGAATGCCTAAGATGGAAATGTTTGTGCCAGATAAGAAATCAACTGTCACCTGATTGCCAAACCTTTTTCATTCATACTCCCACCTGTCTTTCCGTCTCCCATATTTAGATAAAATATGATTACAACTATAAATATTTTGGCATGTTTTCGAAATGTCTTTTTTAAACAGACACATTATCAAAATTAAAAAATTAAAAGTATTTCCTTGACATCAAATTTTTTTTCAGTGTCACATTTCCATTTCCAGCATCTTTGAATAAAACTTCAGGGATTAGTTACATCAAATAATCGATTGTGTTTTTCGGCGCTAGGCCTGCTGCACAGCTACCATCCTGGTTCACTCGGTCGCTCTCCTGTGTTCACGTGCTTGGCTCATTTATTCTCTCTCCCTCCCTCAGCTTTTTGGAGTGTATTCTCTACAGGTTCATAAGAAAGTGTGCATGGGAAGTAGTTTTTTTCCCAATTCTTAAGGATCTGAAAATATCTCTTGCATTTACTTGAAAGTTCATCGTAGTTTCGGGTTCCAAATCACTTTCCCATGGAGCGCTCTCCTCTGGTGTTCAGTGCTGCTGTTGGGAGCTTGGTGCAAATTTCCTTTCCTTTCTGTGTATGTCACTTGTTTTCCCTTTGGAATCCCTTTAGGAGTCTTTTCTCCCCACAAAGATTTATGTTGATAATGCCTTTTTCATTCATTATACTGGATCTTTGATATGTCCTTTATTTTAAACTCATGTCTTTCAGTTGTGCAGTTTTCCTATTTCTTCGAAAACTTCTATTTTCATTTTTAGACATCAGAGAGTCCTGCTAAATTCTGAGCTTCTGAGATTAGAACCTCTTATACCCTCTTTTTAAGACTGCTTCTTTTTGTTCACCACCTTCCTTTTGTTTTTTCATGTAAACTTTAATTTCAAGAATTCATTCTATATTTTTAATTCCTCATTTTAAGTAACAAGCTCATCTTGTTTCATGTAATCTGGATGCTAGTTCCAGCTCTGGGCAGGTATGAAGTTTTGAAAAAACTCTAAGAGGTTATTATTAAGGGCACCATGCAGGTAAACATTACATTTTTGCTGATTAATTACATCTCTTACTACGTATATTTAGTACTATGTGTCAGGCACTGTGGTAGGGAACAGGGACAGAAAAAAATGTGGTAAACTGGTGAACTTTCCTGTGGGCTGGAAACTAGAAGGTAACATTGAAACAGCAGATTAACAGAACACTGGGGGCGCCTACTCTGCTGGGGTGTCACTGTCATTTAAAGACTCTTATATAACCTGTTGTCTTCCTTCTGCAGTAAAGGAATGGGCGCTCAGTGAAGGCTTTGGGTGGTCACTCTCAAGTGCGTAAGGTTTACTCCGGGTGCAGGGACACTGTATAAACTGAAATTCACTGCACTTTGTTCTTGGTAAATTGAAGCAGAATCGAAGCCCCCGTAATTCTCATGCCTTGCTTCCATTATCTGCATGTCAGCTTAGCTTCTTTGCACTCTCTAGGTGGGGTTGGGCTCTCTCTGCTTTCTGGGCATTCCAGATTCGTGTTTACATGGCACACAAAGATGCCGACTTGAGTCCCAAATCCACATCTCAAGTGTCCATTTGATCTGGCCTGGGCTAGGGCTCTGTATCTCACTGATTACAGCTGGGCCTGCCTGACCTGCCATATGGTTGTGGGGCCAAAGTTCCCAGAGAGGTGGAATGGAGGGGCTGTTATCATCCTAAGTGCTGGGCATGCATCTGGAGAGGAAACCAATACATGGGTTCAGAGAGAGCCTGCCCTCTAAAGCAAACCAGGGTGGTCACCGAATTACTCAAACTCTATTCACATGCGCCTATTTTTTCTTTAAAGTAACAATTTGAAGGTCACAATTTTTTTTTCCCATGCAATGACATTTTGAACACAGGTGAAAAATGTTTTTTCTTTATATAGTTTATATATAAACAACCAAATGCTTTTTTGACACAGCGAAAAATTAGCTCAAAGACACCTGCAGAGTTTTATCAGGTTGTTTTCCTTGGTGTGCATTTATTTGGAAACAATACCCAATTTTAGGATATCAAATCAAAATATGATAGTCTTAGACCCAGGGTGACTACTACATTCCAGTTTAATCACACAGCAGGAGTAGTGCTTGGGTGCTGTGCCACTCACCAAACACCAAATGTGTCTCTATGGGAGGCCGCATACTCCTCAACACCATGTGTTCCCAGCAGCAGCCGCCGCCAACATGGGGGCCGAGACGGGCACAAAGGGCTGCGTGCTCCTGGCAAGCTTGGGCTGCACCGGCAAGGAGGCCAGTCACACTCCCGTCCAAGTGTGAAGGAATATAGATTCTCGGTCTCACACGGTTTGAAGCACAAGCAAAACTCACTGTAAGAGATGCCTTACAGCAGGGAGGAGGCTGGGACCTGAAAAGAACCCACAGAAAGGCTGAGTGTGGCGTCCAGCCTCTGCTGGAAGTAACAAGCTCATCTTTTGAAGTCCACGGTCCACACGTCACAGCCAAAGGTCGGTCAGTCTGTGTCTCTGAAGCACCAGATATTCTAGGATCCACCCATCTAAGACAGTGGTAGAGGAATTTGCAATTCTAATTCAGAAACTAAAAACCCCCAAAGACAAGGCATTAAAAATATACAGTTAAACATTTAATAGAAATGTTAAAATAATCATTACATTTCCTCTCATTGCTGAAAGAATATTCCTTTTGTAATCAAAGAAATCATTTTTTTATCATGCAAAAAGGTATTTTTGTTTTTACATTTGTAAGTAGGGTCTATATTTCAAAACAAGTTTATACAGACTTCAAAAAGGGCTAGACTTAAAGAAAGTGAAGTTTAAGTACTATCGCTGTTACACCGTGTGCTGCTGGCATACTCATATCCACAGTTTAAAAAAGTCCAACAACTGAATGTTTAAAGTCAGCTTTGAAATGGATGCACCTTCATTAATACATTCACTAGTTAGGTCTGTTTTAGAACAAGAGGACAGACACAGGAGATATTTTTAAGCAGCAAATTTAAATTGGAAACCAATATTCTAAGTAACTGAAATAGAGAGTCAGGTCACCTGCTGATTGAAAATAGGAGTACAAAACGGAAGGCTGGAGAGAACCTCAGAGAGCATACTATGCAGTGATTTTCTAACAAATAAATATTAAAAATAGGAATTCTCAAGTTTATGATTTAAGAACACAATTTTGATCTAGTCAATAAAACATATCCAGGGGCATCAAAGGCAAGTACCACCATGTCTGCAGCTAATCACAAGGGCCGTGAAAATGTAATATTGATCTCTGAGGTCTTTTAAATATCCCCTCTGGTGGAAGGCTTCTAACAACATTCTCTGCCGACACATGGGACATGCCAGTTTCATATTCAGATACAGTGCTGAGTAGTAGAGTCAATGTTCTGAAAAATTCTTATTTGGGGAGATGGAGAAGATTCCTGAAACAGACTCATAGATCAGCAGCAGGTGGACATAACAAGAATCTGGAGAGACACCATGGGGTCACTGCACGGTGATGTGGTGGCCCCATCCATTCATACTCAGTGTCACCAGCCAATATGGGGCTTCTGACAACAGAGGGGGTGCTGAGTTAACATACTTCAGAGAGAAAAAGGAGAAAAAGAACAGTTCATTTTAAAGTAAACAACTAAATAAATTGCATTTTAATTTATTCTCATAATTAACTGCAGCATATTTACTTTACAGTTCCTTAATAAACATGTCAACTTTACCAATAAAGCTTTTCCTTCATATTCTAACAAATATTCTTTCACAATTTGATAACTACCTGCAAGTCTGACCTTACAATAAATAGTCTTGTAACATCATTTTAAAGCCTAAATTCCAGTTGGCATGGTACCAAAATTTAGTTTAAAGTTTGCAATTCATATAACTGGCCAGAACTAGGCAGGTCCTGAGCTTGAGGGGAGAAGGGAGTGAATTCATTCCTGGTGCTTTCATCCGGGAGCATGCCTGGGAGGCGGGGCAGAGGGTAGGCTGTAGCAACACGGCAGGTGGCTGTACTTTTCATTCCAAACTGAGACTTTTTAAACACATCTGACATGTCTGTACAAATACATGTGGATGTGAACACACACACACACACACCTCTAGACAAAAGAATGACAGCAATACACATGAACCTTTTTTGCCAAATGGATTCTATGGGTTAATTAATGCTTTTTTTCCAATCAATCTATCGAAGTCCAGACCAACTGTGCAGATAGGATGCCCATCCGGAAGAGCGGGAAGCATTTTCTTCTTCACCTTTGGGGAGTTAAAGAGAAAGTGTTAATCTTCTCATAGCATACTTTGAGGTTATGAATCTGTCTGCTCTTGAGCATTCAGTATTTTCTTTCTCTATTAGATAATTCCAAACTAAAGTCACCAGCACAATTGAGTATTTGTGTATGTATGTGTTGATTTTTTTAATTAAGGTATTATTGATATACACTCTTACAAAGGTTTCACATGAAAAACATTGTGGTAACTATATTCACCCATATTATCAAGTCCCCCCCATATCCTCCTGAAGTCACTGTCCATCAGTGTAGTAAGATGCCACAGAGTCACTATTTGTCTTCCCTGTGACCTTCAACCCCCACACGCCAATCATAATACCCTCAATCCCCTTCTTCCTCCCCCTTTGGTAATAGCTGGTCCCTTCTTGGAGTCTATGAGTCTGCTGCTGTTTTTTTCCTTCAGTTTTGCTTTGTTGTTAAAATCCACAAATGAGTGAAATCATTTGTTACTTGTCTTTCTTCACCTGGCTTATTTCACTGAGCATAATACCATTTGTTCTCTTCTTATGGCTGAATAGTATTCCATTGTATGTATGTACCACATCTTCTTTATCCATTCATCTACAGATGGACACTTAGGTTGCTTCCACATTTTGGCTATTGTAAATAGTACTGCAGTAAACATAGGGGTGCATATGTCTTTCTGAATCTGAGATCTTGCTTTCTTTGGGTAAATTCCTAGGACTGGAATTCCTGGGTCAAATGGTATCTTTATTTTTAGTTCTTTGAGGAACCTCCATATTGCTTTCCACAATGGTTGAACTAATTTACAGTCCCAACAGCAGTGTAGGAGGGTTACCCTTTCTCCTCATCCTCGCCAGCATTTGTTGTTCCTTGTCTTTTGGATATTGGCCATCCTAACTGGTGTGAGGTGTTATCTCATTGTGGTTTTAATTTGCATTTCCCTGATAATTAGTATGTGGAGCATCTTTTCATGTGCCTGCACAACCGAGAATTTTTGACAATAAGGGAAATTATTACATTCTTTTGAAATAGAAGCCTTTACATAACTTAGAATCTAAAACCAATAAACCTATGGTAGACTTCAAAACTAAATCAAACCAAACACAACTTTTTTCGTTATTTCAAAACCAGGTTTGTTGAGACATAACTTACAGTTAACTCTTCCCTGCAGGTGTTGTCCCCCACCCAGCCAAGGCACAGAGCATCTCACTCACAGAGTAAGCTAGCCCTGCTCTGACTCCTTGGCAACGACAGGTCGGTTTCCTGTCCTTGGTCGTTTGCCTTTTCCAGGAAGTCTAATCAACAGAACCACACCGTGGTGTTTTTTGAGTCCGGCCCCTCCCGCCTGGCACCTGCATTAGTGTGTGCCACAGTGCATGCCCCATCACTGTTGCATGGTATGCCTGTATGCAGCTGCACCAGGTCACTCGCTCACTCACTGGTGAAGGATATGAGTTTCTACTTTAAGAAATTTAAAATAGAGCTGCTATAAATATCTGTGAGCAAGTTTTTCATTTAAAGAGTTCATTGAGAACTAATTCATATACTCTAACATTTACCCTTTCAAAGTGTTTAGTTCAGTGTTTTTTAATGTTCGTGAGGTCTGTGAAGTTTTCCCTGAGAACAGAGGCTGCTGCCTCTCTTGGATAAAAAGCCTTGGACAGGACCGCGGTTGCACAGTGAGCATGTATTCACCTTGTGCATGCCCAGCTGCTGCCAGGGGAATGTTCTTCTGTGTTGGGTGTCCCACTTTCTCCTTCACCTTTTTTAGGATCAACACAAATAAATGCTGACTTAAAGTTCGGAAAAATTCTGGGCTTCCAAGAAAATTTTAGACAAGGTCCCTTTTATTGTCTTCTTTGTAATATAATCTGTATATTAATATGTATGATTGCAAAGCTTTACAACCTTAAAAAGCAGTAAGCGTTTCTTTTCATTACCCGCCTTTTCCCTCACTCCTCCCAGCCCTCTCAGAGGTAACTGACTGAATGTAGTATGGCCCCTGCCAGGCACCTTTTTGGCTTTTCAGACATACTTATGTGCCACAGGCGAATCTTATGCAGAGAATCATTTCCACAATTTTAAATGGAGAATTCTTTCTATAGTTTACAAGGCATTTTCATGTCTTTTTCTGTTCCCTGTCTGGTTCTATCAATATATTAGTTGTGAACCACTGTTAATGAACTACCACAAACTTATCAGCCTAATGTAGCACACATGTATGGTCTCACAGTGTCTGTGGGTCAGACCAGGAATGGCTTAGCTGGGTATTCCCTCTCAGGGACTCTCACAAGGCTGCAATCAGGGTTTTGGCCAGGGCTGAGGCCTCACCTAAAGGACCAACAAGAGAAAGATATGCTTCCCAGCTCATGTGTAAATGGAGAATTCAGTTACCCAAGGGCTGGTGGACTGATGGCCTCAGTTCTTTGCCACATGGGCCTCTTCAGTATAGCAGCCTACTTCATCAATGCAGGTGAAGGCAGGGAAATTCTGGGGCTAGCAAGACAGAAGCCACAATTTCTTGGGGTCATGGATGTGACATCCTTTCACCTTTGCTAGCACAAGTCACTAGGCCAGCCTACTAACCACTCAAGGGGAGGTGGAAGAGGAAGGCTCCAATGCCTGGAGGAGGGAATCATGAGGGCAGGAGGCAATTTACAGCCGTCTTCCATAATCTGCAGGGTGAAGAGCTTCTAGAAGGCCAGAGGAAGTGATATACTTAAGGGACAGACAAGGGGGGCACTGGCTCTGCTTCCTGCCATTAGAAGAGGAGGTGGCCCTGCTCCAAGAATAGTAAGTCAGATGACTGTGAACATTTCCTTAATGAAATGCAGAGACCACTGTATGTTCACCTGGAATGACTGGTATGTCCCAAGTCTTTTGACAATAAATTCAGCTCTGTTTTCAGATCTGGCAGGACTCTGCTGTGCAATCTTCCTGGCAGCTGTTCACCTTCATGGGTAAATGAGGACCAGAGAAGACCTGTGCTGAGATACGGTGCATTTGCTCCTGCCCCAAGTCATGGTTCTCTTCTGGTAAGCTTCTGTATCCTCTGCAAACCACATCGGGCACTTAAGGTGAGTATGAGTCCATTCTCTTCCTGTCAGTTTGGAGATGATCAAAAATGCTTACTACTCTCTTCACCTTTTCCCCCATTGATTTGTTGGCTTTTCTCTTTTATTTTTTCAACTGAGGCAAAACTGGTATGTAACCTATTATTAGTTTCAGGTCTTTTCCCCCTTTATACTTCTAAAGAGTATTAAACCTCAGTGCACGTTGTATGTTAAGTAACAATATACCGCCCTGTAAACTGCGGAGTAATGATGTAGAGCAGCAACTTTCAGCTCTTATTTGAGCAGCACAGTTGAGATTCTAATTCTGCATAGAGAAGTATCACATGACTATCATAAGGGGCAAAGGGACCTTATCACTCATTTTGTCTCAAGGATAAACTTATAAAAATTGCAGGGTGAGGTGACAGGTGCACCTCAGGTGGAGCCACAGCCCACCCTTCTCAGCAGCACCTTCATCATATTAAGTGTTCCAGTACTAAGGCAGCACTTCATGCTTTTACCTCCTGGAGAGACACAATGGGCAGCTCTGCACAGCTCATGACATTTGCTGGCGCTGCAGTCGGGTCTTTAGTGGGTGTTTATTATAAGGAGGCTCATATTGCTCGACAGAGCTGGATAAACTACTTTATTTCCTAAGCTACCATTTCTCAAATATTTGTGACCCAGACCCACAGAAAGACATTTATATTAGGAGCTGATACAGTCACACAAATACCTATAGAGTGTCAAGAAACAATTCTTACCCTTACTAAATTCAGTGCATTCTGATGTTTGTCTTATTCTTTCTATTCTTAAAATATTCTGAATGTGATTCACCAAATTAATTTCACCATCCACTAATGGTTAGCAATGTGAATAGAAAATACTGCTATAACCCCACACACAATTAGGGATGGGAAACACTACTTCAAGCAAGATGGAGGCGCTTGTGTTCTTAGCTTGTAGGGCCCCACTCCATTCGGGGCCGGAAGAGTGGCCCTCAGGACCTTTCATCTGGCACCCGCATGTGTGCAGTGTGGCCTTGGTAGAGGATGTCCCTGGCCTGGCTAGTGGGGCCCAGGACCTCTATCTGTAGCATGCTGACAAGATTCCTCCACATGACATTCCTTCATGCACCTCAGACCTTCCCCCTGGGAAGTTTCTCTTACATGTTCACGTGAACACACTGTGAATTTGCAGTGGAGGTGAACTCAAAATTTCTACCAGAAAGGATCTCAGGAACTCCTCTTACAGGGCTGGCAGTGATTTCCTGCAGTGCCTTGGAGACGGCCTTCCACCGCTGCCCCGGAGGACTTGTGAGCCTGCCGGCTGCTCCTTTACAGGTAACGGGTGAACGTGTCTTTCTTTCTCTGGCTACTTTTGAGATTTTTCTCAGTTTCATGGGAAAAGAGGTAGACTTCCTTTTATTTATCCTATTTTATTTAAACTTTGTAAGATTTTCAAATCTGTGGGTGGCTATCCTTCAGCAGTTCTGGAAAATTTTCAACCATTCTCTTCAAATGGTATCTCTACCTCATTCTTTCCTCTCTTCTCCTAGCACTTCAATTATTACATCTGTTAGATGTCTTCATCTATCCTGTCTATATATACCCACTATTGTTTTTTTTTCCATAAATTCTGAATAATTTCTCTGACCTATCTTCCAGTTGAATCATTCTCTTTTAAGCCCTATTTAGCTATGCTACCAGATCATAACTATCCAATTTTTATAAGTTTTATTTGTTCACATAGATAATAGATAAGAAGTGAATAACTTTTACCAGGTCAACTAGGTCAACTAGTTTAGGTTTAATATGTGGGGTTTCCAACATGGTTACAGGACTTAGCAAAAGCATATCTTAAGAATTCTGGATTTCTAATGAACTTCAGTATATGTATCCTCTGAGGAATGACCAATAACCTGACATGGGAACCTTAGGTTAGTCTCTTTGAGATCTATTAATCAATGGGCTCTCAAGTTATATGAGCCACTTGAATGTTAGTAACATCGACGTTACATTAAACTTAATGGGCTTTTAAAAGAGGACTATTAGATATGCTAAATAAAGTTGAGATCATGCTGTTTTACTGAAAACTATTGTCAATTAAAAAATACATATATTCTAGTCAATGATTCTGTAACATTTTCCTATGTTGACAGATAGTAACCTCACTAGTGGGGGTGAGGATTTAAAAATATGGGTAAATGTTGAGCCACTGTGTTGTATATTTGAAACCAATATAAGATTGTATAACAATGATACTTCAATTAAAAAATTATATTATGAAAATAACATATCCTTCCTAAATTCCTGGTTAATTTTACAATGAAAAAAAATATTTTTAGCTTTGGTAAAATAAACAAAAAGTAATATATAAAAGCAAAGTTATAATTTAGGATACCTATATTACTAAAAATGTATATGTTGTACTCTTACTCTGGATCTTATGACAAATATGGTACTGTGGCTAAGGTAAGGGACTGAGATTCCTGTCAGTGTTGCAACATTCCTCCCATATTATCATCAAAAGGATGTAATGTAAGAAAGCAGATTCAAAGAACCTCTCAGCACTACTTATGAAGTATTCCTGCAAAAATTAAACCTGAATCACATTGACCCTCCAGATCAGGGGTTCTCAGGTAAGGCTGCAGACCAGGTCCCCAGAATATCAGCATCACCTTGGAACTTGTTAAAAATACAAACTCTTGGGTCCCACCCTAAATCTACGGAATCAGAAACTGGGTGGGGTCCAGCCATCTGAGTTTTTAATAACTGTACCAGATGATTCTGATATCCATTCAGTTTAAGGCCTGCTTTCTAGATCTATCAGTTTAGTCAGGATTTAGAGGAGACAGAGGAACATGTTAAAGAGCACCAAAAGATGAGGTAAATCAGTCAGAAGTGGGACAATTAGGTATTTGGGGTTTGCTTATGTTATGACTTAGGAAGTACACAAAACTTCCAATAATCCAGAACAGACATCTACAGGACAAATGACCAGTTTCTTCAACTAACAAATGACATATTACAAACAGGAACATGGAATTGCTGCAGATAATAAAAAAACCACAAAGCTTAAGGCAAACCAACCCCATGCAGTGTGTGTGTCCCATTCGGGATACTGTAAAGACTGGTGGTAACTCAGGGGCTCTGAATATGAGTGGGGGGTACCACAGCACCCAGCACACCGCGGCAGCCATTGGGGGGCAGGATGTGCGGGGCTGACTTCTCTAGCTCTGCTCTTCCTGTCAACCATGAGTCGAAAATTGTTAAAAATGGGTGACAGCTTCAGGGCACATTCTGGTATTCTCTCCATATGCCTGAAAATGCCAGCAATAACATTTTAAAACTAAAACAAACCATGACCCTTAAGGTGCAGTTTGAAATCAGGTAACTATGGCAGCTGTATGTGAAATCATTTCAAAGGCATTTATGGAATCACAGTATTAAATCGATTTGACATGAAAATCTAAGCTCCAAATATGGACACCTTTAAAGCTGTATTTGTCTGGAAACATGGACTGCTGGACAGGATAGGGTCCAAGGTCCTAGACTATTTGAGGATGGAAATGGGGGAATAGGAGAGAATAGGTCAGCTCATGTTAAAAAAGTGTGATATAAAATATAGCCATGCTCTTTGACAGAATTCAGTGCTAGGGTTACAAATCTGATTGCCAAAGAGCCAGAAGATCGAAGTATATAGTGTGGTGTATTTTGCTGCATGTTAAAATTACATAAATGTACTGTAGTTGCCCTAAAATGTTAAAAAATCAGTTCTTCAAATCTACTCACCAGTTACACATATGATAGAATTCACCCACCAAATGGACAAGATTTGGAAGTTGTGATTCCAAGTGAAAGGTCATGAAGAAAGTTGTGAACACACACAGATGAGCGTCGTTACACAACAGAACCCACAGGGCTCCCTCCACCTACCTTGAGCAATTGCTCCAAGTTTTCCCTTCTCTTCAGGACTGAGCTGCAACATTGCATCTATGACAGGAAGGAGCCTCTCTCTTTCGCTACCTGGTTTCAGGAAAATAAACTGCAGCAAGACATTCTTCAAGTATTCCAGGTTAGCTACGGACTTCTCCCGTTCCTGATTTCTTTCCAATCTTCTTATTTCGCTTTTGAGAAGCTGGTGTTAGAGAAATGAGTTAAAAATGAGTTTTAGGAGCTTCAGGTTAAACATGGCAGACTAAGTACATGCATTTTTATTCCTTTCTCCTAAAGTCCCCCCCAAAATGACAATGAAAGGAGAGATAAGGAGAGGAGAAAAAAGTCGACGAGAAATATCAAGAAGTTCCTGGAAGACAGGAAGCAGGTGAAGTGGAAGCGGTCTGCCCAGCAGCTGACCGAGAGATCCCCTGCCCCAGAGCTGATTCCCGGGAAGGCCGCCAGCTGAGAACCGAGGCAGCCTCAGCCACTACAGACACGTGGGGAGGGGGGCAGAACCGAGGCAGGGCTGAAGCAGACACGGCAGGTCTCCGCTTTGCTCCCAGACCCCAGGCCATCAAGATGCCCACGGTGAAGCTATGTGTACACGACAACACTGGACCTAAACAGAAACTCGGTTCAGATTAGAGTGAAACTTCAGGAATGGAAGAAATCTATACTCTACCAGAAAAATGGGGTAAAGGATATGAGAAAGATGGTAGGAATGTAAAGTCTCTGAGAAAGACCTCTGTGTGAATAAAAAAACATTGTTACATTTCATCATTTTAGGTTAGTCCCTGAAACAACCATTTAAAAAAGTGACAATGAAGTCTAAGGAATCCTGTTAGAATGTAGACTTGTGGAAATATAACATTTGAATAGTCACTTAGGTTCACTGGGCTAGTCAGGGATTTGTTAGAGGGGATGATGTTTTGACCATGTGGGAAAATGTTATTTTATAGGGATGCATACTAAAATGCTTAGAGGTGGGATGTCATGATATGTACGATTTATATTAGTAACTCAGTAACTCAGCATTAAAAATTATTTGGCAAGGGCAGCTGTGGCCCTACATGGAATCTGTGGAAGCACTGTGCTTTTCAGAAAGACTGTAGTTTGAGTTCTGCCCCACCATTTATGAGCTTTGGCTGTTTTCTCACACAGTGATTGTAAGGATAAACATGGTAATATATGTAAAGCCCAGGGCCTGGCTCACGAGAACTGCGTGGTAAGCAGTATGACTACTTTTGGAGGGTGACTTATCAAGAGCTAGGGGGGGAATACCTCCTCTGTGTGATTCTCAACTGCTCCACAACTGACCACATTTGTACATGTTTCTAGTGCTGACTTTAAATAGGGATGTTGTCCTACTCACTCTGCCATCTCCACCCCCGATCTGCAAGAAGTAGTTTAGTACCATACACACCAACAGAACGACCTGAACTAGAAGTGCTCCAGCATTTATCATTAGAATTTAAGGGCCTATTTAAGGTTTAATTAAGCATATGTGTGACGATGACTTGTGAACATCTGTCCAGTATTTAAATCTATTACGGTTTCTTAGCAATAAGCAGGAGTTTAAGTAGTCTTTATAGAACAGATATAAAAGCAATGAACACTACCATAAAGAATCAAGACGTTATGGCTGCATCTGACATGTGAATTTTTAGACGTGCGCACGCGTATGTGTGGCAGGTCCAGACGATTTTTTGGTTGTGGTTTCCAAGCTTACCGTAATCTGCTCCATGAGGATGGCATTGGTTGCCTCGGTTTCCCGGAGCAGGCCATTTAAGTGACTGGCACTTTTTGTGGTGGAACTGAGTTTTTGAACCAATTCTTCTTTGGTGAATTCAGCATGCCATGCAAGATGTTGTTCTGATAATTAATTTCAAAACCAGAGATTATAGGTACAGATTCTAAATAAGACAGGTATCTAAGTATAGGTATTTTACTCGGCAGTAATTAATTCTGCTCTATTCACCATTCTTCTACCCAACATATTTCAATTACAAGGTTCTGTGCTGAATTTAACACAGATAAGACAGAGTCTGCCATAAATGCATATTATCTAATTGAACACAAGCTCCATGAACCCTAATTTTGAAATGTTAGTTCTGTGTTTACAGATCATTTCATCCATTTCATTACTCATCCTCCTCTATCTATTGATGTCCCAAGAGCTTATGTCATTTTTCTTATAAGTGAGGGAAGTATTAACATTCACTGATCACATGCATCATGGACATATGAGAATTTTATATAAGATGAATAGGTACTATCACTCAAATTTTATAGATGAGGGAATGTGCTCAAAATCAATAATTTTTGCAAAAATCCCACAGCCAAGTTTGGTGCCACTCTACTGCAATGCCTCTCTCTGCCATGGCCTGGGTACTGGGGCCGTGGCCTGAGGGAATGATGGCTGCAGCTTGCAGCCACACCGCAATGAGTGACCATGGACACAGTCCTTACTCCAGATCCTGAAACCTCAGAAAGATGACAGATTCTCCCTGAATTCTGCACACTAATATTCTTAGAGGTTAAGAATAAAATATTCAAAAACTTTATTATATTTAATAAGGTGAATTTAGCACTACTTACTTCATCAAGGGGATAAACTAAAACCATCAGTTTCTTAACTGGGTGAGAGAAGTTTCCCTTCCTTCTAATACCACTATGCGACTTTCAACCATCTATCTCTGGCCCAGCTTAGAGCAGAGCTGGCATAAAATCAAGAACAAAAACATCTGTTTCATTTTGCAGTAGAGTTTTCCATTAGAAAAGGGGTAGAATAATGAAATAAATTTTATTAGAGTAGCTCAAAAAGCATTTATGACTTACAGTAGCATTAGTCAAGCTTGAATTCAGTAAGAAAGACACATTTACTCAGAGGAACATACCAATGCTAGCTTCTGGAGCATTAAGAAGCTGCTCCAATGACTGGGTGTAAGTGCCGGTGGAGGACACAGACTGAGTGTCGGCAGTCTCCATTCCTTCTCCCTCCTCCCGAGTTACGGTGTGCATGTCCAGAAGCGGAAGATCTGTGTTTCTCCTTTCTCGAAGATTCTTTAAAGATTGGTGGGAAGAGGCTGGGCCTATTAAATTTATTGTAAAGATTAAGTGTGAGATGGTTCAAAATCATGGACTCAGCATTAACTGGGATACACAATAAAATTAAAATGATACTAGGGATGTCAAATAGTAGGGAATTTTAGTCACTAGAAGACAAGAAAATGGTGTATAAAGAAGAGCTGCTAAGACAGTTTAAAAATGTAGTTACTGAACTTTTAACCACTTAAGTCATTTCTGCAGAAGCTATAAAATGAATTGTTTCTAGCTTAAGATCAACTATTACATAATATAGACAGCTACAACGCTGCTAAAACCAGATTCTAAACCAGACCAGGCATTTCTGCCAGCCACATCCTTTCTGATGTAACAGTTGCTGACATCTGCTCACCACACATTCTTGCTCATCTGCTCTTACCCCGTCACCTCTGCTGGTTCCCACCACTGCCCGCACAAGTCTCCAGTTCAGCAAGAAGAGCCTAGAATCTAGGGCAGGGAACTAATCTATTGTAATTCCCAGGTGAGGCTTTCCTGCTTACTGATAACAAACACTTGCACAGAAGTGTAACACTTGTAAGACACTTTCAAACACATTAAATGACATTGCTCAGGGTCTCATTGCCGGGTTGGGACTGGAATTCTAACCCAGATCTTTTAACTCAAAGTTCATCTGTTTTCCATCCCATGAAGTGGCCTCCTCTCACCTTGAAAACATTATCCCTCCAGCTACATCTGCTGAAGTACTCCCCTGGGCTGGTCCTCTGCTAATTGCTTAGTTCCCTGCTGATTCCTACATCACAGCCTCTTGTGTGACCCGCATTTCTCTGGCTGGTTAATTCCTCTGATGACTCCTGCCATGCATTATATTTTCTTGAAGCTGGTTTCCAATCCTGGCGAATGACTGATAGCTGCTAATGCTCTTGGTGCCACCATTTTCCAAGAGCAACAGCATTGAGCATAAAGTCAATATCAAATACCAAAGTGTAGCCTCACCTTGGCTGACATGTACCCATCTCTTCCACAAGATACTGGGTGTGGTTGAACTAAAACTCTACTTGGAAATTTGAAAGGGAAGAAGCCGTATTAGCTGGCAATTCTACAAGTTCAGTGCTGCTTGAGTTTCTAAGCCTCATTTTCTGACATTTCTAATTGCACAATAGATACATGTGATGGCTAACAACGGAGAACACCAAACACATCCAGTAAATACTAGAATTTGGACACATGTCACGAGACTGACAGTATGTCAGTGTGAGAGAAAAGGAAATACTATATCATATGGAGGGAAATAAACACATGAAAATCAGTGCTGTAAGAGGTCATACAGGCTTCTGTAAAATCAAGAAAGGTTCAAAGGGTTCAAGTACCTCTCTGTAAGGATATCTAAAATTCATTAGTCACAGAACTGACATGGTTGTCCCCTGGTAAATTTCCCATTTCCTCATGAACTTGTGAAGAATGTATTTAAGTGACATAAATACATGAGAACATGAGCAGATGTGTCCACGTGTACATACATACTTCTTGTGGTCGGTTCGCTCTTAAGCTGGAAAAGCTGAGCCTCCACCCTGGAGAGCTGCTGCTGGAGGGTCTCCATTGTCCTCCTGTGCTCTTCCTGCAGATGTCGCACTTGATCTCGGAAGCTGTTGCGAAGGACTTCGTTCTGGGATGTCAGCTGACTCACAGTCTGCGTGTGGTCAGACTTCATCATCATGTTTTCTGACTGCACTGAACACAACCTGAAGGGCGAGAGGAACTTACTTTACATGAGCTCATTCAACTTAGATGCTTATTCAGCCTTTCTTAACTGGGTTCTACAAGAGAGTAAGTCCTAAGACATCTACTGAACCAGTACGAACTACCTTCTCTCCTGTGCATCAGAAAGGTACTAGTGTGATAACCAGAGAAGAAATGACACTGGCCATCATCTGCTTCAGATCATTTTCTGTGTAGAACAGTTCAGATAAGGAATTTTCTTCAGTTTATCAGAAAATACGGCTATATTTAGAACATAATTATACTTAGTCCACTTCTTTAGGCTATCTTACATGGTAACTCATATAAATATAGGATTAACATATCATTTCTCTATTACCCTGAAAACATAAAAAAGTTATTTTTAAATTAAGGTATCACTGATATATAATCTAATGAAGATTTCACATGAGGAACATTGTGCTTTTAACATTCACCCAAATTATCATGTCCCCCCCCCATACCCCATTGCAGTCACTGCCCATCAGTGTAGTAAGATGCTATAGAGTCACTACTTGTCTTCTCCATGCTGTACTGCCTTCCCTGTGACATACCTATATTGTGTGTGCTAATCATAATGTCCCTTAATCCCCTTCTCCCTCCCTCCTCACCCACCTTACCCACCTCCTTCCCCCTAACCACTAGTCCCTTCTTGGGTTCTGTGAGCCTGCTGCTGTTTTGTTCCTTCAGTTTTGCTTCATTGTTATACTCCACAAATGAGGGATATCATTTGATACTTGTCTTTCTCCGCCTGGCTTATTTCACTGAGCATAATACCCTCTAGCTCCATCCACGTTGTTCCAAATGGTAGGATTTGTTTTCTTCTTATGGCTGAGTAATATCCCATTGTGTACATGTACTACATCTTCTTTATCCATTCATCTACTGATGAACATGTAGGTTGCTTCCATATCTTGGCTATTGCAAATAGTGCAGCAATAAACATAGGGGTGCATCTATCTTTTCAAATCAGGGATTTTGTTTTCTTCAGGTAAATTCCTATAAACTGGAATTACTTGATCAAATGGTATTTGTATTTTTAATTTTTTGAGGAACTTCCATATTACTTTCCACAGTGGCTGCATCAATTTACAGTCCCACCAACAGTATAGAAGAATTCCCTTTTCTCCACATCCTCACTGACACTTGTTGTCTCTTGTCTTTTGGATAGCAGCCATTTTAACTTCTGTGAGGTGGTATCACTGTGGTTTTGATTTGCATTTCCCTGATGATTAGTAATGTGGAACATCTTTTCATGTGCCTGTTGGCCATTCATACTTCTTTGGAGAAATGTCTGTTCAGGTCCTCCACCTATTTTTTAATTGGATTATTTATTTTTTGGGTGTTGAGGCATGTGAGTTCTTTAAATATTTTGGATGTTAACCCCTTATCAGATGAGTCATTTACAAATATATTCTCTCCAAATATATTATGCCTTTTTGTTCTGCTGATGGTGTCCTTTGCTACCCAGAGTCCTTTTAGTTTGATGTAGTCCCACCTGTTCATTTCGTTTCCCTTGTCCGAGGAGATGTGTCCAGGAAAAATAGTTTGTACTTATGTTTAAGAGATTTTGCCTGTTTTCTTCCACGAATTTTATAGTTTCATGACTTACATTCAGGTCTTTGATCCATTTTGTTTATTTTTGTACACGGAGTTAGAGAATAATTCAGTTTCATTCTCTTACATGCAGCTGTTCTATTTTTCCAACACCAGTTATTGAAAAGGCTATCTTTTCCCCACTGTATATTCATGGCTCCTTTCTCAGATATTAATTGATCATATATGCCTGGGTTTATTTCTGGGATACTGTTCCACTGGTCTATGGGTCTATTCTTCTGACAGTACCAAACTGTCTTGATTACTGTATAGCTCTGCAGTAGAGCCTGAGGTCACGGAGTGTAATCCCCCTGCTTTATTCTTCCTTCTCAGGATTGCTTTGGCTATTCGGGGTCTTTTGTGGTTCCATATGAATTTTAGAACTATTTGTTCCAGTTCGCTGAAGAATGCTATTAGTATTTTGATAGGGATTGCATTGAATCTGTAAATTGCTTTGGGCAGGATGGCCATTTTGACTGAATTAGTTCTTTCTATCCATGAACACGTCATAGATTTCCATTTATTGGTTTCTTTTTTAATTTCTCTCATGAGTGTCTTACAGTTTTCAATGTACAGGTCATTCACTTCCTTAGTTAGGTTTACTCGTAGGTATTTTATTCTTTTTGATGCAATTGTAAATGGAGTTGTTTTCCTGGTTTCTCTTTCTGCTAGTTCATTGTTAGTATATAGGAATGCAGCAGATTTCTATGTGTTAATTTTGTCTCCAGCAACTTTGCTGAATTCAGTTATTAGTTCTAATAGTTTTTTGGTGAAGTCTTTAGGGTTTCCTATGTATAATATCATGTCATCTGCAAACAGTGAGAATTTAATTTTTTCCTTACTAATTTGGATGCCTTTTATCTGTGTGTTGTCTGATTGCCATGGCTGACCCCCAGTACTATGTTGAACTAAAGTGGTGAGAGTGGGCATACCTGTCTTGTTCCTGATTTTAGAGGAAAAGCTTTAAGTTTTTCACCATTGAGTATGACGTTAGCTGTGGGTTTGTCATATATAGCATTTATTATGTGAGGTATATTCCCTTTATACTCACTTGGTTCAGAGTTCTTATTAAGACTGGATGTTGAATTTTGACAAATGCTTTTTCAGCATCTATTGAGATGATCATGTGGTCTCTATCCTATTTGTTGATGTGGTGTATAATATTGATTGATTTACGAATACTATATCCTTGCATTCATGGAATAAATCCCACTTGGTCATGATGGATGATCTTTTTGATGTATTTGTGACTTTGGTTTGTTAATATTTTATTGAGGATTTCTGCATATATTTCATCAGAGATATTTGGTCTATAATTTTCTTTTTTTGTGGCATCTTTGTCTTTGGTATTAGAGTGACACAAGACTCATAAAATGAGTTTGGAAGCATTCCCTCTTCTACTTTTTGGAATACTTTAAGAAGGATGGGTATTAGGTCTTCTTTAAATGTTTGGTAGAATTCATCTGTGGAGTCATCAGTACCTGGTATTTGTTTTTTGGGAATTTTTTGATTACCAGCTCAATTTCACTGCTGATAATTGGTCTGTTCAGATTTTCTGTTTCTTCCTGGGTCAGTTTTGGTTCTATTTTTCTAGAAAGTTGTCCATTTCATCTAGGGTGTCCAATTCATTGGCATATAAATTTTCAAAGAATTATCTAGTGATTCTTTGTATTGCTGTGGTATCTGTTGTGATTATTCTTTATTTCTTGTCTTTTGATATTAGCCACTCTAAGAGGTGAGAGGAGACATCTCAGTGTGGTTTTGATTTGCATTTCAGACAATTAGTAATGGTTAGGTATCTCTTCATGTGTCCGCTGGCCATACAATTTTTATGTAGTCAGTCTGATTCTAGCCAAAGGACCTACAATTTGGCAACCACTATTTTTAATGGTTCACTTGTACTGTTGATGTTTTTTGTTTGGCTTTGGTGAAAAATACATTTTCTTCTCATGCAAGGGATCTGTAAGTGCTCTCATAAAAATTCAGGCAGTTCAGAACCAATTATAGGAAAAAGTGAGAGCCCTCTTTTGTTCACTCCCAACCCCCACAGTGTAATGCTATTTCCCGGGGGTAAACGTTGTTAATGGTTTAGCATTTACCATGTTACTTTCCAGGATCTTTTCCCAATGTACATATCAGGTATGGTTTTAGAACAAGATTTAGTGGCTAAAGGGAAACAAGCAACAAAAATACCATATGTTTCAGAAAAGTATCTTAAATTGCCAAGCTCATATTGATGAATTTAGAGAAGGCTAGTGGAGATGCTATACCGCTAACTTGCATTTTTCTTCAAGCATTTTGTTTAAATAATATTTATCAAGAAAGTGGAGGAAAAACCATCAGTAGTCACAACAATTTTCTAAGATAAAAGCTATATTTTATAGGTGGGCTAAGGCTGCTAGTTTTCAGGCAATATAAATGACACTTCTGACTTTACCTTATTGAGAGTTAAAAGCTTGAACCCCCACCTGAACAACTGTGCTGATGGAAGCCTGTTGTTCTGCCCCAGCTGGTACTGGGGTGTGTATATTAGTTGGGTCCTCTGGGCCATGCAGTATTAGGTGGTCAGCCTAATTATTTCTCTAGAGCCATACCATCTCATCCAGAGAAATTATGAATATTAAAATGTTCCCTAAAGAGGAGAATATATAAAACAAAGGCTGTTTCTTTATTGTAAGCCACAGGCAGTAATGATGTCCTTAGTTTTTAATACTCTGAAGAAGTGGGGGAAGATTCCTAAAGATATCTCAAAATGCTGTGAACAGTTTTCCAGCGCTTAGAGGAGTGACTGGCACATAGTAAGTGCTCAAAAAATATTTACTGAATGACTGGATTACTTTAGAAGCATCACCTGCAATGTGTTAGCAATGACTTATAATGACTTCTCTAGAGTAAAGAACAAGTATTGGAAATTTCTGACATTAAGTATCAAGTTAAGCATCACTACATACAGCATAATGTCATGATAAACCCTGGTGACTGGCAAATAGAAAACTGGCAGATCATGGCTGAAACTCCTGATTTACTTGACTAACTTATATAAATCACACCTAAAAGATTAATCAAGAAAAGAAGTGCTTTCACTTTGGGGATTAGCGTAACAGTAGGCACGTATTGTAAGCATACCTGAGATAAGAAGAATTCTTTCCCTTATAACAAATATTACCATCTAATTTCTTTATTACAGGAATTCAAAGTTCCTTGCTTACAGTAATCTATTTATTCTGCTAATGCCCTTACTTAAAGTACTGATTAGCAAAGGTAGAACAATATGACAAGTTGAGATCCAGTTGTAAAACTAAGTAATATTCTTGTCCAATCAGTAGTTGTTTTCCTCTAGAAAGAAAGAAAAATGCTTGTAATTTAACACCTGGGCTGGAAAGTAGTGTCTTTTTCTTTAGGGAAACATTCTGGCCATGAAGGCCATAGGAGAGACATAATACTGGATAAGCAGATAAAATTAACTATTGTTAAAAAAGCTAAGTACAAAATGATAGAAGGGCAGGGAGTAGGTACTTTAAGGTAGAAAAAGTAAGATTACCATGACTTTAGAAATACCTATTGCTTATTTTCAGTTTGTATTTATCTCAAGGAGCAACACAAGAGGAGTTTCAGCAAAGAACTTGCTGCCAGGCATGGATACTGACTGTGCCCCAGCACCCTCACCTTTCCCGGAGCTCGGCCTCTTTAGACACTGTCTCCTGCAGCATCTTGTTGTGCCTCTCCAGCAGAGTATCGTGCTCAGACTGTAATGTCTGGAGTTCAGATACACTGATCTGTAAGTTGTTTTGGGAATCTTGTAATTTGATTTTTAGTTGGTCAATCAGCATTTCCAGGTGTTCTCTACAACAGAAACAAAGTTTTGAAAGAAATAAACCTTATTTTGTGGTTTCAGATAAGTTTTACTTTATTCACTTAATCTTTCAATGTCATACTCTTGCTATTACTGTGGATATTCCAAAGGAAATGTAATAATTGGAAGAATTCAAAGACTAGGATTAAATATAATACAACAGACTGTAGTCAGATTTTAGATTTTAGGCACTAAAGATTTATAAAAAAGCCTTTGAATTTATTCCTTTCAATGGAATAGACCATTCAGTGGCATCAAAACAGCCTACTTTATGTTATAGGACTATGCCATTAGTTAAAATCATATAGTTCTTAGCTAATCATTATGAAAACAGTATATTACACCAAATTATAGTGAAAGCCCTTAGACAAAAACAGTTAAAACCAAGAGTTTTGTAACTAGTTCAATACACTATTAGTTTCTTTTTTTAAAAAAAGTATTTAATGTATGAGGAAGTAGAAGAAATGTAAAACATTTACATTAAAATGATTTGAACCCCAAATTCTAGCATGTTCAAAAATGACACTTGCAAATGATGACATCTTATTAAGCGTGTCAATATTCAACTTCAGCTTTAAGATGAACTACTGATAGAGAAAACATCTCCTTATTTTTCAACCTACAGTTTCCATACTTAGTAGATACATAAACAAAAAGTAACACCTTCATAAACATATAAACCTAGCAGGGTATTTAGTCCTACTTCGAAGAGCAGGAGCCAGATGTACAATTGCTTTGAACCCTAAACCTCTCCTTAGGAAAACAAAACACACATGCTATGACATGCCCTACCTATTTCTAGTATATTTTTACATATGTATAAAAATGTATGTATTTTATATATATCTCTAGTATATTTTTATAAATATATCCTAGTATATTTCTGAATAATTTACAAAAGGGATCTGTATGTTAGTTTTCAATAAAAAGCATTAAAAAATATACTACTAAAACAAGTAATTAGATGTTCATACATTTAAGAAAAAAAATCCAATTTCAGACCAAAATTTAGTAATTCATTTAAAACTTTTTGAAATAAGTAAAATGTTTTTAAGCAACTTCTGTTTAGCTTAGTTAGTGGTAAGTAAGTACATCAAGGAAGCATTTTTATGCTTCTACTTCTAAATTCTCAAAATTGGAAAAGCTAATCATCATGTAACTTTAATGCCTATATTTCTACTATGAGCAGATCCTACTATAAGATGAAGCTACATCTCAAACACTGGAGCCTCACTTTATAGCACGTCTCTCTGAGTTTGTTACAGGGCCCTTGGGAGACACATTTCCCTGTTGCTGTCTAGAGACACAATGAAGCTGAGAAACTCTGTTCTCAATGGTAATAACATGTAAAATTCCACAGCCAAAAGAAATCAAAGTAGAGGTTTTCAACCTATTTGATGGAGGTCCTATCTTGAGGGGGGGGAAACCCTGCCTGTTTCTTTTAATTTAGACTTTACCTTTCTTGTTTAGCTCCCTCGGTTTCAGTCTGAGACATAGATTTACTTTTCTGTTGTTTTAGAACATTATGAACTCGGACTTTGTAGCTCTCAAATTCAGAGGTTATAGCGGCTTGTTCTGCCTATAACATTTAAAAGAGAGAAAACATTTTCTATTGTTAACATGATCCCCCTATTTTCTTTTAGAGATTAATGAGTTAAGATGAAGACCTGTTTTTGAAAACAGCTGACACTCTTTCACCCTCAAACACTCCCTAAAAAGTACACTTCTGCTGGCCTTGCACTTTTTTTTAAAACCTTTGAATGATACAATATTGTGTGACAAGAGGTATGTTCCTACCATGTTTTCTTCCCTGGATGATTAATTTACCACCCATAAACTTTATAATGGCTCTATTTGCTTTTGGAATTTTAGAACGATTTTCACTTATAGTACTGCCTCTATTTATAAATACAAAAATTCAAAGAAATTAAGATATTTGAATTTTAAATTTCAAATGACAGAGGGAAAAGTTAAATTCTAGGTCTTCCACTTTGTGTGATTGCCCATGAGTAAACCATGGGACCTTTTTGCCACGATTGCTTTGGCAGGAGCTGCACCTTTAACAAAACTACTCTACTCTGTTTCCTATGGTGTAGGTAAGACAGTGGGCCTCATAGCCATTCTATTAGAATATGATCTTATAATCATTTAGACCTCAGAAAGAACTGTGATACTTTTTAAATAAAAAATTAAAAAGAGTAGTAGCTTTCCTACAGAAATTATAAAACAAGGTTGGAATGAAACAACACATACCCATGTCTTTCCTTTTCATAAAAACAAAGTTATCTAAGTGACAGGGTTGGGACGGGGTTGGGTTAAGGTCAGGTATTTATCTAACAAGTACTCTTAAAAAACAGCAACACTAAAAAGCGAGACCACTGCCCCCAGGTAAACTACGTGCTAGCTGATGAAGCCACATGGCTTCCGTGTGAGGAACGCACCTTGGCAGAGTGACACTCTTCCTGAAGGACTGCCACTCGCTGCTGGTACGTGCTCAGTGTGCGCTGGTGCTGGTCCGCAGAGGTCTTCAGGTGCTCGTGAACTTTGTGTTTCTCAGATGTTATTTCAGCCAACTGAATCTGGGGGCAAAAATCTTTCAGTTAAGTCCTGGTAAACTACATCTTCATGGTTAAACAGACTTTCCTTAAAAACAGACTTCACGTTTGAGACACAAGTATATACAAAGGGCATAATAAAGAAATTTCAATCTATTATTATTGAAAGAGTAAAGACAGTATGAGTAGGACATTTTCTCAATAAATTTTTTCTGAAATCAGAAATCCAGAAAAAAAAATCAATCAAGAAATAATTCCAGACTATATTTACAGTTCACTGTTTAAATACCTCAAGTATAACAGATAAATACAAAATAATAATGTAAACATATGAAAGTATAACATAAAGTATTTTATAAACTGATTCCTGTAACTGAACTATAAGTTAGGAGGTTCAGATACAGGTCTAGGGCCATGTTTACTCATGTTTCACTGCTCTTACTGTATTACACATTTTCAGATACATGGAAAGAATCTAGCTTAAGCTACACCCCAGTTATATGCCATATTTGGCTTATTGCTTCCCTTTCCTCAAAACGTTGAGGAAGCATATTTAGGAAAAAAAAATGTGCATGCATATGAGGATATTTAGGAAAACTCCTAAATGGTACCTTAATTCTACATGGAGAATTTTTTTAAATCTGGAAAAGTAAAAAGAATCTTACTTTACAGATTTCTACTTGCTGCTGGCTTGCCTCCAACTCGCCCTTTAAAGATGCTTGGAGTATTAAATGATCAGTTTCCTATAGAATAAGTATAGTGGTTAAGTTAAAAAAAGAGGTCATTCATAAATATGCTATGAATAAGTACTAAAATATGAAAGTGGGAAATTAACATACTGCTTGCTTTGAATCTGCCAGTTCTTTTTTGGTTTTCACAAGCAACTGCTTTATTTGGGTGTTTTTTTCCTCATACTGTTGCACTGAAGACTGCAGTGAAGCTAGTATGGAAATGATTTCAGAAGAGATTAAACAATTGCTATGAGTACTTTTAAATAAACTGTTTAAGGACAAGTCTTTTCTTTGTATAAACCTATCTTTAAAAGAAACTTGTCTCAGCTTTTTATTATGGAATATTTCATACACACAAAACAGTAGTAACAGATATACCTATGTACCCATGACCAACCTGTGGCCAACCTTCTATCACCCAGACCAGGGGTCTGACCCACAGGCCAAATCTGGTTGTTGTTTGTTTTTGTAAATAGGTATATTAGCACACAGTCAGGCTCACTGATCTACATATCGTTTATGGTGCTGTGGGGTAACAATGGCAGACCTGGCTGACAGCAGAGGCTATATGGCTGCCAGGCCAAAGATATTACTGCCTGGCTCTTTACAGAAAAAGTCTGCGAACCCCTGACTTACATACTTTCACTTACTCTTTGTGTCCCCAGTGGGGTTTTTTTTAATATGAAATCAATTTGTCTGTAAATATTTCAGTATAAATCTTTAAAATAAAGGTATCTATCTATACTAATATATATACCTACAAGATAAAGACTTCAGAAATACTCAAAAGGAGTGCTGTTTATTTCCAATTGTATGACATGAGAGGCACAACGCTGGTTGTCTGTTTTTATGATACTGTTTTACAGGATGGACTGTCAGTGGAAGTTTGCTAAGGAACCAACTGAAACATGATAAAAACAAAAAGCTTTTATGCTAACAGAGGTAAAGAAAAAACAAATACCAAAAAGGAATAAGTGATTCACAAACTAGATCACAGGCAACTAGCAGGCCAAATCTGGCCACAGCCTGCTGTGAAACTAAGAATAATGTGGTGAAGACCATGGATTTACCACCTGGTCCTTTATAGAGAAAGTGTGCTTGGCACGTGCTCTAGGCCAGTCATGTTGGCATTAGGTGACTGTGCTGCTAAAAGATCTTACAAGCGATGACTAACTTTATGAAGTCAAATCCATATATATATAGACTGCATTTCTTGGTAACTGTGAATATATATACTGTAAGAATATATCTTAATTATGTCTTTTTATGATAAATCTAATTCAGTTTTTTCCTGGCCACTATTTATCCAGTTCTAAAAAGATTTAATAAAGCACAAACACATATGAAGTCTTTGTTAGGTGCTCTAGGAATTATGATAAGCAAGAGATTGTAAGTCCCTGAGCTCAAAGAATACAGAATGAAATCAGGGGATAACATTTCACACGATAACGTAAAATAAAATATGTTAAAGAAGAAATACAAAAGGCTAAATGTTATATAAAATGTATGAGGTTATATAAAGTCTGGGCTAATGCTGTATAAAGTTTGCACAGGGACAAGGACGATTTCATAGAACGGGAAATATTTAAGATTAGCAAGGATCCCAAACAGTGTGAGCATGAGGGTGGGAAGGTGAGGGTACAAGAGGAGAAATAAAAGTGGGTGAAATAAAAAGTTATGGGGGGGAAAAAAAAAGTTATGGGGAAGCACAAACCACGTGATTCAGGAAACATGAATAGTCCTCTGTGCCTCTGAAAAAGGAATGTAAGCAAGTTGCAAAGTTAGACCTGTGCAGGAGGTTGGGTGTGTGTTCCTAAATCAGAAGGCAGCATGAGCCAACCACTCTTTTGTTTGCATGAAATGCTGTCCTGAAGCTCATCTTCCTACTCTACAACTTGTTAGCCCCCCACACAAGGCCTGTGCTACCATGAAGCTGGTAGCTTTTCCCAAATTCTATACCATTCTAATTAACTTGATATACAAGGTAGATTAATCTTCCTTTCTGTCTTTAAAAAGGGCCCAAATACATTCTGGTATTAAGGTATTTAATGAACTGGATAAAAAAAATCTTCCCAATTCTACTTCATTTTTCTCTAACAGGTTAAGCCTTTCACTCCAATTAGTCAAGACTTCCAAAATTATGTTATTTCTTTCAATTTTTTTCTCATACCATAGCTACAGAAATACCCTTTTCCAATGTGCTTTTTCACTCCAAAACATAAGGACTCAACTTCAATTGTTTCAGTCTACAGATGCTCTCCCCACTGAGCTCCTAGCACTCCCTGCCTGCACCACTCATTTCTATACTTATTTATCAGGAAGTGGGTAGCTTTATTGAATAAGTATTACTTTTTTTAGTTTTTCTAAGGTTATCAATCATGCTTCTCTTTCACCTATCAAAAATATATGCATGCACTTGCTAATTTACATTGCATGAATATAACCTAGAGCTCTATATTCACTTTGCAGCAAGAACACAGAAAATATGGCCTAAGTATAGAGAATTTTCTGGAAACTGTACAGTTTGTTCAGTTATCTGAATATTTTAAATTTTATCCCTGATACAGGTAGATCAGAACTCTGCATATGTGGGATTTTATTGATTTGTTCATTCACGAAATTGCCTTTATTGAGCTGTAATTTGGCCACAGGCTGAATAAGAAACAATCACAGAATATTTTGCTCTTTTATTTATTTGGGGATACTGCTGAGAACGTAAGTCCAAATTATCAGCTGTTTCTGTTAAAACAAAATACAAAATGGAGACTGGACTTGAAAATTCTCCGAGCAGATAAGACCATTTAAGCCACATAAGTGAAACTTAATCTAGCTTTTTCTGTAAAACAAGCAAACTTGTTTACTTGGGCCACTCTGGTAAATGCCTCTGATAATCATGAAAGAAACTTAAGTCATATTCCTAAAAATGGGGTAAGATAATCACTTTTAACCAATAAGATAGTCATCCATCATCTGGAAATCCACATTGTCAAAACCAATCATTGCAAAGGGTAAACAACTTCCTTATTTTCACTTTATTAGGTATTTCTTATAAATCATGTCCCTGAGCTATCAGACTTTGAGTTTGAATGCTCACAGTTCCTGAACTTTTCTTGTATACAAAATGCAGTTTACTAAATACCGTTTGATTTGGTAGTTTTAATTTTGCTATTTCTGGATGTTTGACATTCCTAAGCTAGCATTAACTTCAGAAACCACACAAGGCTTTTGAAAACACAGATTTCAAGGCCCACCCTTTTAAGATTCTGATTTCTTACATCAGTGTCTGGGCTTTCCAAAAAGCTCTCTGGATGCTGTATGAAATGCAAGTCAGGTCTGGGATCACTGTTCCATATGACACAGCGTTCACTTTATAAAAATGCCTGAAAGAATGTTCCCTCATGAATCTTGGTACCAGGAAAAGTTGTGTCTCTCACAATCATCACATTTATTTTAATGTTGTGGATACTGTAAACTTTGTAACTGATTGTGTTTCTTTGTTTTGACTTCTGGGAAGATCAAAGCCAAATTCATGGGAGACCTTAATGACAGCAAAGGTACACAGAATATACACTTTATGTCTTGATCTTGTATATGATTTTACTAGATAGGCCTACACACCTTAATATTTCCTTTTATCCCATTTCCTCATCATTTATATATATATCTAAAATCATGTTGTACAATATCTTTGTAGCCACTGCAAATTATTTTATGGGATTTTTGCTTCTGAGTACCAAGGAGTACCAAGGTTTATATTTACTTTCCTGTTACAAACAACTAGAAAATGAAAAAAATGTATGAAAAAAAACCTGTTTTCTGACTTTGGAAAATAAGCAGAGTAAGACTACTTCCTAAAAGGAGGAACACAAAGAAGGTGAGCCCAAGTACATCCCAGCTTTCACTGGGGGGCTGCCTCTAGACTGATGCCAGAGGGGAATCCCAAGCACAGCAGTGATTTTGCTGAGATGCAAAGAACAACAGCTGGGGAAAGAACAACAAATAGTGAACTGTAATTGAAACAAGTCACAGAGCTCACACAGGACTATACATTGTTAGAATTCCCACAAACCAAACTAGAGAGACTTTGTTGAATACATGGGCACTCAGCAGTCTCAGAACACCCCCAATTAGTAGTGGGGCTGAGCTGGAGCTATACAAAGGTATACAAACTAGATCTACATCTACTCTATACTAGTCCTAAAGAAGATGAAAAAAGTCACAAATGAATAAAACTGATTTATAAATAACTTGACTGCTTGCCAAAGTTTAACTCTTTAAATGAATACCAGAAAATCTAGCATTCAACATATACAAGTCAAATCCAATTAAACTGATTTCTTATGCAAAGAAGCAGAATATAACTCCAATAGAAGCACATCCAGAAATTACAGAAATGGTAGAATTAGTAATTACATTAAAACTATGAAACATGCTCAAAGATTTAAAGGTAAAGATGAACATAATGAAGAGATAAATGGAAAACAAACAGCCAAAAATGTAAAAAATACAATTTCTAGAAACAAAAAATACAGTATCAAAAGTGAGTATGTCACCAGATGGGTCTAACAGATTAGACACTGCAGATGAGAGAATTTAAAGACAATAATTGAAACTATCCAAAAGGAAACTCAGAAAGTTAAAAAAGAAAAAAAATGAAAACAGGATCATTGACTTTTGGAACTAGACAGTGATCTAATATAATTGGTGTCATAAGGGAAAAAAGGGAGGGGAACTTAGACAAAAAATATCAAAAGAAATTAATGGCCAAAATTATGCTAAACTTGAAGAAAACTATAAATCGAAGAAGCTCAATACATCAAAGCAGCTCAATAAACCAGAAGCAAGATACAAACAAGGACAAAAAACACTAAGGCACATCATAAATTCTATACCCAGCAAAAGTAACTATAAAATGTGGGCAGGTTACAGACAAACAAAATGAGAGAATGCCTGTAGCCTATGTTACAAGATATATTAAAGAAAGTTCTTCAGGCAAAAGGAAAGTCATTGGACCATACATAAAGGAATGAAGAGCACCAGAAATGGTAAATATTTGAAAAAAATTCTCCAATTTTTCCTTTCTTTAAAACGGGTTTATAAGAGTTTTAAATGGTCAGATATTAAATACCATCAGGCCAGTTTCTGTTACAATTACTCAACTGTAGCATGACAGCCACAGATGGGACACACATGGCTATGTATCAATGAAAGCTTTACAAAAAGACTGATTATGGGCCATGATTTGTTGACCTCTGCTATACAAGATGACTATTTTTAAAAAATGTGTTAAGTTTTAACACATGTATTAGTATAAAACATATGACAAAAACAGCAAAAAGGACAAAAGGGAGGAAAATTAAAACTACTATGTAAGATTCTTAAACTACATATGAAGTGGCATAATTTACTGAAAATTATCTGTGATAAATTCAAGATGTACATTATATGCTCTAAAGCGACCACTAAAACCAAAGAGGTATATGGTTAATAAGCTAATAAAGAGATAAAATGGCATCATATAAAATACTTGATTAATTCAAAAGAAGGCAGAAAAGGAGAGAAAAAAAGACAAATAACAAGACAAATAGCAATCAGCACACTGGTAAATTTAAGCCTAGTCACATAATAATGTGAGAACAAACAGCTTAAACATGGCAATTAAATGGCAACAATTGTCAGCTTAGAGAGAAAAGCCTCAACTATATGCTATCCAAGAAAAACACTTTTATAGACTTAGATTAAAGACAAAGGATGGGAAAAGATAAGCCATGTAAATAATAAATGAAAGAAAGCTGGAGTGGTCTGATCAATATCAAAGTGGACTTCAGAAAAAGGAATATTACCAGTAATGATAAAAAAAAAAGGCATTTCACAATAATAGAGGGACTGAATCATCAGAACATACAACAATTCTAAATGTGTATGTAGTAGCTCCAAAGTTTCTAGATATTATGAAGCCAAAACTGACAAAACTGAAGAGAGGGAAATCCAGAATTATGTTCAGAGAATTCAACATACTTTCTCTCAGTACTTGGAAGAACAGTAGTCAGAAAATCATTAAGGATACTGATGACTAACACTGTCAGCTGACTTGATCTAATTGACATTAGACAGAACACTCTATCCAACAATGAATATAGTCTAACACATAAGGAACATTCACCAAAAAAAAAAAAAAAATCATATTCTGGGCCATAAAACAAACCTCAATAAATTTAAAAAGCCTGTAATTATACAGAATATGTTTTCTAACTACATAGGAATTAAATTAGAAATCATTAACAGAAAGGTATCTAAAAATTCCTTTAAATATTTAAGAATTAAACAACACACTTCTAAATAATCCCATGAGTCAAAGAAAAAATCCAAAGGAAGTAAAAAAATATTTTGAGCTGAATTAAAATAAAAACACAATTTGTTAATTTGTGAGATGTAGCTGAAGGAGTGCCTGAAGGAATATTTGTAGATTTAGATGCTTATATTGGAAATTATTATGGATAGAAGAGGACATAACTACCTTAAAAAGAAAGATTTCACAGCTAGTTAAATTATTCCACTCCATTTACAGTAAGCAAATTGTGGCCAAAAGACATTTTTTATCTTTGTATTACTCAGAGTAGGTACTTAAGAAATGTTTAAGTGAATGAATGCACTATGCACCAACACGGACTGTAAACACCTGATTGACAAATAGTTTTACAACCCTTCTGTCCTTAATAGTGTTTAACACTGTGCGGAAAGACCTGGTTGTCAAAGACTGGTGAAATGAACCACTAAGGTTGCTCCCCTGTAATGATGAAATTGCTGTAAGTGAAAGTGAATTTTGATTAACTCACTCAATTCTTCTTGCAGGGTTTCTTGTTTCTGTTTCTGAATTTTTATTTCTTGCTCCAAATCTTCTATGTTGCTGTTTTTATTAGTTAACTTTTGATTTAGTTCTTTCATCAAACGTTCATAATCAGCTATTTCCATATTCATCAATGTGGTTTGCTGGGCATCCTGCACAAATTACAAATAAAAAATCTGCATACTCGGTCAGCTAACCTCATTTGTAAAATTGCTAAAGTTATGCCACAGAAATAAATAGGCTCTATTATGCTTTTCTGAAATATAGGAAATTGATATAAAAATGAGGAAACTAAGTTGGATGTTTTCTAATTTATAAAATGTTTTCTAATAGTTTAATCCAACTTCCTCAGTTTCATTGTATTTGATTATAATTTTCATTAGCCATAATTGGTATTCTATTCTATTAGCCTCATCTTTGAAAAAATAAAGAAAAATTAGCCAAAGCTCCAAATATAATACTAATTTCAGTTTCTGACATTAAATCTCCACATGACATACAATAATCTTGTACAAAAAAATGAAATACCAAACCAAAATCTAAAAATTCCTGAGCATAGATTCTTCTGGAGACAGGCACCCAGAGAAATAAGTTATAATTTTAATTTTTGAAGCAAGCAATTTATAAATGATTATTTTGATATCACGAATAACCTTGCTTTTGAAATACTTCTTTTCTAACCTATTAGTATAGTGTAACAATGTAAAGATTGACATCAGTTTTGAGTCTGGTGTTTTGTTTTACCTTTCTAACCAGCTCTAATTCTTGCATGGTTTTCTGAAGCTGTTTCTTTTCCTTGTGGAGTTGTAGCTGAAGTTCTTCACGTTCACGAACAGAACAGGCATGCTCCTAAAATTAAAAACAAAAATGCAACCACCCTCCAACCAACCAACATTAAAAAAAGAAATTTGTAAGGGGCTATAAAATAAATGTGACACACTTAAATACAAAAAGCTTGAAAATCATATACACTCAAATGTCATAGCTGGGATTCTTGACTCATACTAGGCATATATTAAGGAATTAGAACTCTGAACATTCACAAATGCTACCTGTTAGTCTTTCCTTCATTTAAATCATACTTTGATAAAGATATCACTACATAACATGAATCAATCCCACAGGACAATTTTCACCTTTATCTTTTGATCCTTCTGAAGTTTTTCAGCTTCCAGTTCTTTGTCTGCCACTGCTTTGGCTTTCTGGACTTCTAAAATCTGTATTTCTAATAATTTGACATTAGACTGTAGTGTCTCAATACGAGCCAGTAGATCTTCATTATTAGAATTTAATTTTTCACACTAGAATGATAAATGATTTATTACTGTGAACATGCAGAAAATACATACAGGAGAGGAAGAATAAAATAGTACATTAATGAGAATATGGCATAGTATGAAAAATGAAGACTTCAAAATCAATTCCACAGAATGACAATGTAAAATAAGCTTAAAACATCATCATTGTTGATGACAATTTGTCAAACAATAGAAGACCAGGAGCATGGACAGAGGAAAAGACAAAAATCAAACAAACAAAAAGCACCCCAGGGGAACTGAGATGAGAACAATAAGATAGGATGATTTCTAGTTGTTTTGTAATATTCTTCTCCCAAAAGAAGGAAGAAGAAAATGAAATTAAGTTTCTGACTGTATTATTTAGTTTTTATGCAAAGAATACTGACATTGAAATATGCTTATTACAATCAAAACATATGCATTTACTTGATTTAAAGTTACTTGAAAAGTCCTCTCCACAAAGTGGGTATAGAGGGAATGTACCTCAACATATAAAAAGGCCATATATGACAAACCAACAGCTAACATCATACTCAATGGTGAAAAGATGAAAGCTTTTCCTCTAAGATCAGGCACAAGGCAAGGATCCCCTCTCACCACTTTCACTCAACATAGTTCTGGAGGTCCTAGCCAAGGTGGGTAGGCAGGTGGGAGGGAGTGAGGGAGGAAGAGAAGGCATCTGAATTAGAAAGAAGTCAAACTGTCACTATCTGCAGATGACACAATACTACACAGAGAAAATCCTAATGATTCCACAAAGAAACTGTTAGAATAAATCAATTCAGTAAATATTCAGGCTACAAAATCTATATACAGAAATCTGTTGTTTCTATACACTAAGAACCATCAGAAAGAGAAATTAAGAAAACAATCCCATTTATAATTACACTAAAAACATTATTAGGAACAGACCTGTACACTCAAAAACTATAAGACACTGATGAAAGAAATAGAAGACAGCACAAATAAATGGAAAGATATTCTGTGCTCATGAATTGAAAGAATACTGTCAAATGTCTACACTACCCAAAAGCAATCTACAGATTCAATGCAATCTCTTGTCAAAATTCCTGGCATTTTTCAAGGAACCAGAATAATATTAAAATTTGTATGGAATCTGAAAAAACAATCTTGAAAAAGAACAAGGTTGGAGGCATCATGTTCCCTGATTTCAAACTATATTTACAAAGCCATAGCTATTAAAACAATATGGTAGTGGCATAAAAACAGACACACAGATCAATGGAACAGAACAGAGATGCCAGAAATAAACTTGTGCATATATGCTCAACTGATTCATGAGAAAAGAGCCATGAATATATAATGGCGAAAGGACAGATGTTGGGAAAACCAGACAGCTACATGTAAAAGAATGAGTTGACCCCTATTTTATACCATACACAAAAATTAACATGGATTAAAGACTTGAATGTAAGAGGTGAAACCATAAAACTTCAAGAAAAAACAGGTAATAAGCTCCTTGACATTGGTCTTCGCGACTATTTTTTAGATGTGACACCAAAAGCAAAGGCAACAAAGGCAAAAAATCAACAAGTGGGACAACACCAAACTGAAAAGATACTGCACAGCAAAGACCACCACCCACAAAATGAAAAGGCAGCCTACTGAATGGGAAAAAAATATTTGAAAAACCCTCTATCTGATAAGAGGTACCTAAAATATATAGAGAACTCCTACAACTCAATAGCAAAACAAAACAAAACTCACCAAACAATTTGATTAAAAAATGGGCAGATGTCTGAATAGACACTTTTCCAAACAGGCACATGAAAGGATTCTCAATATCATTAATCACTAGGGAAATACAAATCAAACCACAATGAGCTATCAACTCACACCTGTTATAATGGCTATTATAAGAAAGACAACAAATGTGGAAGATGGAGAGTAAAAGAACATTTGTGCACTGTTGGTGGGAATGTAGATTGCTGCAGCCACCATGGAAAACAGTATGGAGTTTCCTCAAAAATTAAAAAGAACTACCATATAATCCAGCAATTCCACTTCTGTGTATTTACACTAAGGCGAACACTAACTCGAAAAAATATCTGTATCCCCAGGTTCACTGCAGGGTTATTTACAATAGCCAAGATATGGAAACAACCTAAGTGTCCATCAACGGATGAATGAATAAAGAATGAATCCATGAAAATGAATGAAATCTTGCTATTTGCAAGAACATGAATTGACCCTGAAGACCATATACCAAGTGAAACAGAGAAAGGCAAATACTGTATGATCTCACTTGTGTGGATCATATAAAAAAACAAAAACAAAGGAAACTCATATGAGGACAGATAGGTGGTTGCCAAACGCATGGGATGCAGGGTGGGTGAAATGGGTTAAGGAGCTGAAAGGTACAAACTTCCAGTTATAAAATAAGTAAGTCATGAGATGTACAGCATGGTCACTGTGGTTAAAAATTGTATTGCAATATTTGAAAGTTACTAAGAGAGTAAACATTAAGTTTTCATTACAAGAAAAAAAATTTTGTAACTATGTATGGTGATGAGTGTGAACTGGACTTATTGTGATCATTTTGTAACATATAAAAATATTGAATCACCTGGAACTAACATAAGGTTGTATGTCAATTATACCTTAAAAAGAGAGAAAAGTTACCTGAAGAGTGGAATTCCTTAACTGTCTTGTAAGGTCTTCTATATGATGCTCAAAATTATTAGCTCGTTCTTTTTCCGCATCCAACTGCTCTGACTGCTTATCATATTCTAATAAAAGAGTCTTCAATAAGAGACAAAAGGTTTAACTTTAGGCTATTATTATATATTCCATTAGACTGTATCAAGCCATCTTTACCTAAGATTTATGAGTCCACCCATTCTGGAAGCTTAAACTATTTATGTAAGTTCAACATCTGAGAGAAAACCTAATTTGTATCCTATAATAAAATTAGGATAATTCAGATGACTTTTAGAATTAGGGGGAATCTACTACAGGGGGAAATGATTTTTAATGTATACAACATAATATCTCCAAGTTAAATATTCATTTCATCAACAAAAATAAACTTTTGAAACAAATGTAATTTATGGGAAGAAGGGAAAAAGTTCAATTTGGTCACCAACCAATACCATCTGAAGAATTCTGATGAGGGAAATGTTTCAGGCCTGGCCTAATATAAGGGAGAGAGGTGTTAATGGAAAAACTCACATGTTGTGGCAAAACATTTATACTTTCTGAAGACTCTTTAGAAACTGAACTTTTTTCTTTGGTATATCTAGTTGGCCTCTACTCAAGGACAGAATGCCCAGTCTGACCTTTTTGCTACATACTACACAATCTTATTATCCCTAAAAATATGTAAACTAGATTAACTGTTTCCAGATTGCCTGTAGCTTTTTTTTTTTACTCTCTCCCATCTCTTTTAAATATTGGTTTTGCCTTTGTTCCTGGAGAACTACTGACTGTTCTTCATGTAAATGAATTTCTGTGCAAAAATCTAGCCAAATGTTTGAGTTTTCTTTATTTCCTAAAAGCTTATTTTAGGAAGCTTGAAAGGTGGCCTTTGTTTAGACCTGGGTCTTGAGACCCTCGCTCACCTTCTCAGGCAAGATCGTCTGGTGGCCTAATGAGTGGCAATTATATGCTCTTTCTGGCTTTTGCCAGCCAGATTTGATTCTTGGGCAAATCTGATTTTGTTTGTAATTCTCATTTACAAATGGTTAATTACTGTCCACACTGGTAGCTGAGTGCTAGAATCTGGTTTCGATGCTATGGTCTGCCCACAGTGATTGGCAGAAGGCTAAAACTGGGAATCTAGAATATGGCTTATGTATTTATTTGTCCATGTTTGTCTGAGGATTCTGTTACTTCCTGGCATATATGAATAACAGGGTTGAGAAATCGCTTGTCTTCTTCTCCATAAAAAGATTTTATGCTTGCATTTTATTTGTGTGGATTCTTCTAACTCAAAAGATCAGAGATCTTTATCCTTTCAGACTCTACTATCCAGTCTTTCTTTGTTTTTATGCATTATGGGCTCTAATATAGTCAATAGGTGCAAAACCTGAATTGCTTATCAAGGCTCACTCGAGCAAACAATGGTTCCCTACACAAAGTTCTGAGTATAATCACATATTATCCCTATGGAGCCTTGGAACAAAAAAATAAATGCCATACATGCAATTTCCTTGATGAGTATGCTGATACTTCTAGGCAAATGAATGATTACAAATTATTGTCCCTTCAGAACTACTGCACACTCAGATCTTTAAGAAAAGTGGTAAAAAATTATAGTATGATAATAAACACTGAGAAAAGAAACTGTCTAGTCAAATTCACAAGGAACTTACAAATTACTCAGCATCTTAATAGTGATGCTCCCTGAGGAACCTAATGGAGCTTAGTTAATGTCTGTTTTTACAGAAAAGTGATCACAGTTCTTAAATACATCAGCACCCCTGATTCAATTTTAAACCCTATTGCTTCATCACAAATGGAATCTCTAGCTTACCCAAAGACAGAAAAAATTTTATAACTCTAGAACTTAAAAAATATATTTCGTAGGAATTTTAGAGCCGTTTTAGGCTCATATAAAACTGAGGAGAAGTCACAGAGATTTCTAATCACCACCCCTCTACCTCCTCAAATGCAGTCTCCTCCATTACCAACATCCCCCGACCACAGTGGCACATTTGTTACAACTGACACTGAACCTCCACTGACACCACATCACCCAAAGTCCATGGTTTAGTTAGAGTTCACTCTTGCTGGTTCACATTCTATAGGCTTGGACTAATTTACAATGACACGTATCCACTACTGTGGTATCACATAGAGCAGTTTCCTGAGTTCCATCAATTCATCCCTTCCTCCCAGCAACCCCTGGGAACTACAGATTTTTGTATGGTCTCCATGGTTTTGCCTTTTCCAGAATGTGACAGAGCTGGAATCAGCATGCAGACTTTTCAGATGGGCTTCTTTCACTTAATAGTAGTATGCATTTAAGTTTCCTCCATGTCTTTTCACGGATTGATGGCTCATCTCCTTTCAGTGCTGAATAATATTCCATTACCAGTAAGTGCCACAGTTCTTTCATCACTCAACTTCTGAAGGCCATCTTGGTTGGTTCTGAGTTTTGGCAACTGTTAATAAAGCTGCTATAAATACCCACATGCAGATTTTGTGTGACTATGTTTTCAGGTTCTTTGGGTAAACACCAAGGAGCACAGCTGCTGGATCATATGGTACAAGCATGTTTGGTAAGAATTTGCTAAACTTCTTGCAAAGTGGCTGTACCATTTTGCATTCTCACCAGCAGTGAATGAGTGTTCCTGTAGCTCTGCATGCTTGCAAGCATTTGGTGGTGTTGGTGTTTCAGATTTTGGTCACTGTTATAGGTGTGGAGTGGTATTTTATTGTTTTAATTTGTATTTCCCTGATAACATATGGTAAGTAGTATATTTTCATATGCTTATTTGTCATCTGTTTATCTTTTTTGTTGAAATGTTTGTTAAGGTCTTTGGCCCTTTGTAATGAGGTTTTTGTTTTCCCGTTCTTGAGTTTTAATAGTTCTTTGCCTATTTTGGTAACAGTCCTTTATCAGATATATGTCCTTTGCATATGTTTTCTCCCAGTTTGTGGCTTGTCTTCTCATTCTCTTTATATTCTTTCACAGAACAAAATTTTTTAGCTTCAAATGAAGTCCAGCTTATCAATTCTTTCATGGATTGTGCCTTTGTTGTTGAATTTAAGTCCCTGCCACACCTAAGGTCATCCAGGTATTTTCCTATGTCATCTTCTAGGAGTTTTAGTTTTATGTTTTACATTTATGTCTATGATACATTTTGAGTTAATTTTTGTGAGGAATGTAAAGTTCACTCTTCTCAATTGTTTCTAGATTGTTTTGCTTGTAGATGTCCAGGTGTTCCAGTACCATTTGTTGAAAGTATTATCTTTGCTCTAATGTCAAAGATTGGGTGACTACATATGGGTTTATTTCTGGGCTCTCTACTGTGTTCCATTGATCAATTTATTCTTTCACCAACACCACACTGTCTCGACTGCTGTAGCTTCACACTAAGTCTTAAAGAGCAGTACTACTAACCCTCCCACTTTGTTCTTCAATATTGTGTTGGCTATTCTGGGTCTTTTCTACATATTTTTCTCTATAAGAACTTCTTTTAACATTTCTTGCAAGGCACTCTACTAGTGACAAATTCTGATAGTCTCTATTTCTATACTTTTGAAGGATAATTTTGCGGGGCAGAGAATTCTAAGTTGGTGGGTTTTTTTTCTCAGTACTTCAAATGATTACCTTCTACACTCTTCTTTCTTGCATGGTTTCTGAGAAGCTGGATGGAATTTATCTTGGTACCTCTATAGGTAATAAGGTGTTTTCTTCCCTAAGGCTTCTTTGAAGATTTTTTATTTTTATTTTCTTTGGTTTGAAAATTATATATCTAGGTGTCATTTTTTTTTGGTTTTTATCATGCTTGGTTTTCTCCGAGCTTCCTGGATCTGTGGTTTAGTGTCTGACAATCGGCGCAAATTTTCAGTCATTATTGTGTCGTATTTATTTTGTTCCTTTCTCTTTCTCATGAAATTCTCATTATGTGTATGTTATATCTTTTGTAGTTGTCTTACAGTTACTGGGTATTCTATCCCTTTTTTTTTGCCTTTCTAAATCTGTATTTTAAACAAATATATTGGTTATACCTGGTCTACCTGTAGAGGGAACTAACATATTAGATTATAATGGTTCTTAAAATGTAAAGACACAAGCTCCTAATGGCTCATACAAGACAAATAAGCACATACATAAATTTCAAGTAAGTGTTTTTTAAAAAATGGACTTATGAGGTTTCTTCATACATTAGATGTTAATTCCTGATCATATTTTCATATGATAATTTTATACTTTACATAGTTCATTTTATATTTTCCTTTGTAACCTTTTAAATTACTTTTAAGTTGAGAAGAGCATCTTTTATCTCAAAGTTAAATGGTCAAATATTTTATTCTAGGTTTAAAAAAAAATCTTTCTTTTTGACAAAACTTAAGCTACTACAAATTTATTTTGGTGTGTGGGAATGAAGTAAAAATGTAACTAAATTGTGCTGAAGTAGTTTTCTAATTTCTCCTTTTTCATTTTTATGTTTTCAAATCTCGCTGTAGTAGTGAATAATATAGCTTGGTTGGTGACAGAACAGACATGGAAGCAGCCTGCCTGAATCCAATCTCAGCTCTTTATACTCGCCCTGGGGCCTTGAGTTCCTTAACCTCTTTGTGCTTCAGATTCCTCACTTGTAAACTGGCAATGCTAATAACATACTTCTTGAGGCTGTTTTGAGAATTAAACATGATAAGATTACATGTATAGTGCAAAGAAGAAGGCCTGCTTATAAGTGCTTGTTTTTATGCAGGTCTGTCTTATGTTACATTAATCTTATTTTTGCATCACAACTATATAACATTATTATATTGTATAACAAATTTTAGTGTCTGCTAGAGCAAGACATCACTCTTCTCTTCTCACTTTAAAAAACATCAGCTATTCTTGCTAGCTGATTTTCCTCTGAAACTTTGATAATTTGTCAAGATTGCCCCACCAGAAAAATCCTAGAATTTTTAGTGGAATTGTTTTAAAGCAGGTTAGTAAACCAAACTGAGAATATTTCAAATATTTAGTCATCCTACATATATAGTGCAGTTTTCTTCATTAACTGCCAAATTTTCTCACTGAAGTTCTTCCTGAAATTTGTTTTTTTGGCTACTACGGAATTTTCTTCCTTCAAACAAATCTCACTTGTTTATTGCCCACTTTCTTCTCCCTAACCATTTTTACTTTTCCACACAGGATGGACCTTGTATTTTTGTCTGCTTGCCTGTTACTGCCTATAGAATTTCAGTCCTAAAAGGGCAGTAACTTAATCTATTTGATTGACCTCCATCTTCCTATTACTCCGACTGGTTAATGAATACATTAAGAAACGTAATAGCATTTATCTTGCATTCAGTTGATTTTATTGTACCCTTTTAATTTTAATTCTATTTTTTATAATAGATTCTTATGTTACTTCGGTAAACAAGCATAATAATCCAAATAATAATGTTTTTGCTTTCTCAGACCCACTGTTAAAGCTTCAGGTTTATTCACTTGGCCAGAGTAATATTAAGTAATAACAGTAGTAATAGCCATCTTTTTTTGTTACTCTTTTTATTAGAAAATTCCAAAAGAGAATTTTGGTTTTAAAAAACAACAGCCGGAAGGCATTATTGAAAGCTTAGTCACTTAAAATTTTAACACTAGGATGATACCACATTAAATAAAAATATAGAAAAAATATTTACTACAGAATATAAGGTAACTGTGTTATGGATAAGAGTTTTACATTTCTACTACATTTCTTAACTTAGAAATTACAAATAAAACATTATTAAAATAAGTATTTTTACCTTATAGCTTTCTGCCCCTTGAATGAGATCTCTAATGGAAGTAGACAAGTGATCCTTTTCTGATTGAACAGATTCAAGTTGTTCCCATAGAGTCTGGACCTATTTTAAATACATAATAAAGAGTTTTTTATGGACAAACTTTATTTTCTACAGTCTAAGGTCCTTAAATCTTGCAGTTTTAAGTTACGTTACCTCTTTTCTGCTAGAATCTAGTTCTTTCTTTGCCTTCACAGCAACTAGTTTTATCTTACTTATTTTCTCCTCTTTCTCTTTGGATTCTTTTTCCAAATATCCTAAAAACAAATGGATTAGATATGAAATCAAAAGGAAAAAAATTCAAATACTTTACTTATTTTAGCCCTAGAAATCGATCTTTACTCTGGAACCCCAAATCTACAATTTGAAAATAAAGGCAATGAAATAAGTAGCAAAAATATTAGCACTTTTTTCAGTGAAAGTTAAATTATTATCTAAATGAGGCAAACAATGTAAAAAAAGTCTATTTTCTTCAATCCTCCAAAATAAGTTTTATTTTTTAGCCATTTATAAGTGTTTAGGAATTAGAGACTGTTAGGAGTCTTTCACTATTATATTTACTAGAAACTCAAGTATGACAGGATTTTAGGTGGTAATGCATAAATCAGTATCAAGAGAGGAGATATCAGATGTAGTTAACTATTTATGCTCTGTAGGCTCTCCTGTTGGTTGGTGGGTCTGGTTTTTATGACTAACCTGTAACGTGTTTCCAATACAGACAGTACTGAACATATCCAATCTTAATGTCTCCTTACCCCCTTCAGCCCCTGCATCTCCCCTATTTAAACTCCAATGTTCCAGGTCTTACTTACTGACATCTTTGCTTAATTTCACTTATGATCTGAGTTTCTGTCCCTGCTCACCTATCCAGTGCACCTGTGCTCACATGCACTGCCTTCCCACAGCTGCTGTAGGTAAAGTGCCCGGGTGTGTAGTGCAGGCCAACTGTCCCACTTCTGCGTTCCTTCCCACACCTTTTCATGCACCAGTGCAGCAGTCCTCCCCATTTCTGTGCAGAAAACTGCCCTCTTTAATGGATTTCCCAAACAGGTCATAAACATGCAATAGGGCAAATATCAAGAGGCTAGGATCAGGGACAAACAGCTAAAGCAGTGCATACAGATTGGGGAGGGGCACAAGAGGCCAGGTGAAACACCACATATACAAAGGCAAACTACCACACTTCTCCTCCGAGTATCACCCCCTATCTTCTTTCTTTTATAGCAAAACCTCTTGGAATAGTTATCTATACATGCTCTCAAACTTCCTTTTCCCATTTTCTTCTTGAACCCACTTCAATGAGGCTTTGGCTTTAGTATATCATGGACACTTACTGATGACCTCTATGTTTCTTAATCCAGTGGTTAATTCTGAGTACTAATGTTACTTGCTCTAGGGCAGCATTTGTTATGATTAAACATTTTTTCCTCTTGAAACACTTCCTTCACCTGTACTTCATTTGTCTAGCTTCTAAGATATTTTATGCTCTGGATTTTCCTACCTCACTGGCTGTACTTTCTTAGTCTCCTTTGCTGTTCCTATCTTTCTGATTTTTAAATGGAGAACTGTCTCTGGTCCTCATCTTTTTCCTACACCCACTTCCTTAGTGATCTCAATCTCACAGCTCTTAATGCCAACTATTGTGTTAACTACACATTTTTATCTCTGGTCTAGCTCTCTCCCCTTAACCCCAGACTTGTATATTTAGCAGCCTATTTGACATATCCACTGGCACTGGTACTTAAACTTAATTTGTCTACAATAGCTCCTGATCTCCCCAAACATGACTTGCCCCAATTATCCATTACAGAAACTGGGAGTCATTCTAAGCTCTTTTAACTTCTTCCATGAAAGTCAAATTGGGCATGAAATTGAGGAATTATGGCACATTATGTGACATTTCTTTAATGGAAATAAAGGAGCTACCCCATTACGTTACATAAGGAATAAACGGACAGGATAAAGTCCTAAGTCCTCTGCATTATGACCCTAGCGCTTTTATGATCTGACTTCTGCCTCCCATGAGGTTCCTAGTATGATCCTTTATGTTGTGCACGTTAACACACAAGCACCTGCTGTCACCCCTTGCTAGAATATCTTCTTGTGTCAAATTTTTCATTCTTTAATACACAACAAAAGTATAGCCTATTTTGTGATTTTTCTCCTAACTCAAAACAGGCAGTTAACCATGCCTTCCTGTACTACTAGCCCTGTACTTTGTCAACTCCTCAAACTCCTGCAGTAGCAGCCCCTTCTAGTAGTGAGCTCTTTGAAGACAGGTTCTGTGTCTTAATTACCTATTACCAGTGACTAGATAGCTGGGCATTAAAATTAAGTTTTCTAAATGAGTGAAAAATGCAAAAACAATTCTGGCATCACTTATAAATGGAATTATATCAGTCCTTTACTTGGATAAAACAAAACAAGGTGAGAGTTCCGAAAGGGAATGCAAACAGATGGCAGAAGCACAAGAATAGAGGCATCAGGAAGAGTTAGCTCCTTATGTCTTAACAACTCAGTAGTTGGCTAATGTATTCCCCAATCTTTTCTAACACTAAGAAGAACCTTTGTATTAATTGCAACATATGCAGAAACACACTTACCTATTTTTTCTTCCAGCTTTTTTACTAGAGAAGGTTGGTCATTTTCTACAGAAGGTGATTTCTCTGAGGAATCCTAGGTTTTATAGAAAAAACAAAAAAACAGAATCAGTTTATTTCTCATGACGAACTGGTCATCACGTTAAGCGTGAGAAAATCATCATTAAAGAGAATTCATACAGAAAGCAATTTGGTGAAGTCTTTTTCTTCCCTTGATAGACTGACCAGGCACTTTTGAACTTACCATGCATACAGCCTTAACTATAAAAAAAAAACAGCAATATTTAAGGCCAAAATGAATAACCTGACATCTATCAAGTACATAATGTAATAAGAAAAAGATTAAATAATTATAGTCTATCATACTTTCACAATTTTTGCAGAAATATCTAAAATTTTGAGAAAATACCACTATAGTATACTTTTTTCTCACAGTGCCCTTTAAGAAAGGTAGTAAGTATATCATGTAAGACTGGAATTCAAATTTTTTCATGTTTTCTTGGTGACTAGTTACACTATTTTAGCCAAGACAACTACCTAATCATTTCATCTCATGCAAGATCAAGATTTTAAAATGATCTAAAGCAAGAAAGTGATCAATGTATTAACAGGATAAATAGCATGAAAATGCTTAATGCACTTAGCAGAAATTTGTTACTTGAGCTTAAATGCTATAAATTTACTGATTTTCAAAGTGTAAAAATGCTAATTTCCTAGAGTCTATGACTAGAACCAATAATTTAATCAATAAAAAATAGTACCTTTAATAACATTAACTCTGCTTTCATATCTTCCAATTCAGATTCTTTTTGTCCTAGTAACCGCCATAGGTTTTCAAGTTCCTCTATAAAAGACTTTTCTTTTTCATGGATTTCACTTTTGCTACATAATTTTTGAGATACTTCTTCAACTTGAATTAGAAGATCCTGCTTTTCTAGTCTTGTTATTTCATTAGCATTTTTCATTTCTATAAGCCCAGTCTGCAGGGCCTCTTTTTCTGACAGGCTTTCTTCTAACTCTTTCCTTAAGAGACCTTTCTCTTGCATAGATTCTCTCAGTAAAGACCTGAGTTCCTCACACTGAGCTACATTCTCTTCTAGAAGGCACTTAATCCTTTTTTCCAATTCTACTACCCTTTTATCATATTGAAAAACCAAGTTGTGTTTTTCCTCCTTTATTTTAGCTAAGGATTCACCTACAGCTTGTAGGACATTTACTATATCTTGCTCTTCATTTTCTTCTGAAACTTCTGACTCCATTTGTTTAAGAAAACTATATAACTGAGTTTTGACAAATAACTTCTGAACTTGCTCATTTTCAAACAATTTACTTAAATTATCTCGTTCTTCAACTGTTAACTTAAGTTTCTTTTCTAATTCAGAAACATGTTCCTTATGCATAAAATCTTCTTTCTGAGACAGGAGAGCTTTCAAATCCCTACTCAATTGTTTTTTTTCTGAACTAAGTCTATTATTTTCCTCAGAAAGAGACTTCATTTCAGATGACAGTGCTTCCTGGTCTTCAGAGGCAGTTTTCAACTGACCCATAAGCTTTTCTAGTTTTTGGTTATTTTGATCCTTTTCTTTTAAAGTTTCTTGTAGTCCTTGCGTTAATTCATTTACCTTTTGTTGTAGTTCACTGTTGTAATGGGTAGTTTCCTCCACTTTCTCCTTAAGTTCTATAATCAATCTTTCTTCCTTTTCGCATTTCTTATGGAGATTATCCATCTCTTCATGAGAACTTTTTAGTTTACTTATGAATTCATCCTTTTCCTCAGTAAGAGAACTTATTTTGGCTTCAAATTCTTGTAACATGGTATCTTTTTGACTGAGATTAAGTAAATACACTTCATTCTTTTCTTGAAGGTTCTTTATGGTATTTTCAAGTTCTGGTACAAATTCTTGTTGAGATAACTTTTCACTTTCTTTCTGGAGACGATTCACAGTTTCAAGAAGAGCATCTTTCTCATTAAAAGCAGTTCTGAGCTTCTGCTGGAGCTCATTAACATCAGATGCTTGCTGTTGCTTCATTGATTCAAACTCTTGACTTATTTTTCCAGCAGATTCCCCCAGTTCTGTTTGTAAAATTTCCATAATTTCTCTCAAACTCTCATAATTTAAAACTGCTTCTTGCTTTTCTTGTTGTAGGTTTTCACACTGCTCCTTAAGACCCTGTATTTCAAACATTAATGTTAATTTTTCTTTTTCTGAATCTGACAAAAATGTCTCATTCAGTTCTGCTATTTCTTTTTGATGTTGTTCCTTAAGAGTCTGTACTTCTTTGTTATGTTGTTCTTCAGTAGAGCACAATTGTTTATGTGAATCTTCTAGCTCACATTTTAATTTTTCCATCACAAAGCCCTGTTCTTCTTTAGCTAGTAATAATTCATTAATTTTAAACTCTAAGTCTTCCCGTTCATGAAAAAACTCATCCTTTATATGCTGGGCATCAATTTCAAGTTTCAGTTTAAGATTGTTCATATAAGTCACCTCATCTTTTAAGATACTATGTTGAGACTCCAGTTCTTTTAAGGTATCTTCTAAGTGTTTGACTTTTTCATTTACTGCTTGTTCTTCAAAAGCATCTTTTTGTAAGAGCAAAGCACACATGTGATTTTCTTGGTTTGCACTTGAGGCTTTCCCTGAGTTTTCTAATTCACATTCATACTTCTGAATGTTCTCATGTGCCTCACATTGTCTAACTAAGTTCTCCTTTAGCTGGTTTAAGCTGTTTACCTCTGCAACAGGTTCTTTAGCAGATGCTTCAATGTGGCACATCAATTCTTTCACCTCTTCTTGGTGTGTAGCTTTCAACTGCAAAAGTTCTTGCAAACTGTTAATATCTTGTTGGTAATGCTGAGAATTAGCCTCAATGACTTCTTGGAGGTGAGTAATTTCTTGTTCTTTTTCATTTAAGGCAGCTGCAAACTGCTTTTGCAGATGTAGAATTTGCTCCTCACAGGCTGGCCTAATTTTCTGAATCTCCTCTTGTAATTTTTTAACATTATCTTCAGACTCACTTATCTGAAGTTTAAGTTGTTCTGAAAGCTCTAATTGTTTTCTCGTTGCTTCTTCCAACTCCTTCTGCAAGCTGGCTTTCTCCTCACTGTGTTTGTAATGTACTATCATTAACTCATTTTTCAAAGTTTCCACTTCTTTCACATAGTTTCTTTCTGATTGTTCAAACTCCTTATGTACATCTTCCATTTTAGTTACAGAATCCTGTTACAAAATCAAATACACAAAATTTATTTAATTAAGGCAAAAGGAACCTCTGCTCTGAGAAAAAATGTTAGCCACAGGCTAAAGAAACAAGGAAATAAGCAGAAATGAACATATAGCAATATGATAATGAGATTCCAAGAATTCTGTTTAGGCTCTGACGATAGTAAGTATGACAACATGTATCAGAGTACCAAATGTTTTCCAAAGTAATAACGAGAAGCTAGGAAATCTCTGAATTTAATTTAAAAGATGATAAGTTATGTAAGTTGTATTAAATCACAAAGCTTTAATGAATATCTCTTGAGTAGGTTAATAAGTGACCTTTAGAAAGGTCTGGGCAGAAAATCAGTCCAAACTTAATAGGCAATTTAACAGTCTAGAACAAAACAGATAATGATATTTAGAGTATGTATGAGAACAAACTTAAATAAGAACTTATTTTTTTAAATAAAATCATTTTTTTTTCATTTTTATTAAAGAATGACATTACAGCAGTAAGGAAGATTAAGCAATGGGACAAGTAAATGTTAGCTCTATCTCTGTGTAGCTGGGTGACTTCAGTTGTTTTTCTCTTTAAATATCAATTTGTTTCCTTGTTTGTAAACTGTTAAAATCAGGACAGATGTTTTTAAGGTCTTAGTTCTAAGATTCAAGACTATACTTATGAGTTGATTTAAAAAATTAAAATGTTAAAGCAATCCTGAGAAAGAAGAACAAAGATGGAGGGCAGTGTGTTTCGTGACTTCAAGCTCTACTATGATGCTATTGTAATCAAAACTATATGGTACTGGCACAAGAACAAGACCTACAGATCGATGCAACAGAATAGAGAGCCCAGATATATACTCATGCACATATGGTCAATTAACACAAGACAAAGAAACCATAAATATACAATGGGGAAAAGAGTCTTTCACAACAGGTGTCAGAAAAATTGGACAGCTACATGTAAGAGAATGAAACTGGATTACTGTCTAACTCCACACACAAAAGTAAAATGGATGAAAAACCTAACGACATGAAACTATAAATTCTTAGATGAAAACAGGCAAAAATCTCTTGACCATAAGAACGAACAATTTTTTCCTGGACACATCTCCTCGGACAAACGAAACAAAAAAAATTTACACCTGTGGGACTACATCGAACTAAAAAGCTTCTGTATAGCAAAGGACACCAGCAACAGAACAAAAAGGTAACCTACAGTGTGGGAGAATATACTTGTAAATAAATGATTTATCCATTAGGGGTTAAAATCCAAAATATGTAAACAATTCATACACCTCAACACCAGAAAAACAAATAACCTGATTAAAAAAATGGGCAGAGGACCTGAACAGGCAGGCATTACTGCAAAGAAGAAATACAGATGGCCAACAGGCACATGAAAAGAATGCTCCACATCACTAATCATCAGGGAAATGCAAATCAAAACCACAATGAGATATCACCTCATACCAGTTAGAATGGCCACTATCCAAAAGACAAGAAATAACAAGTGTTGGTTAAGATGTGGAGAAAGGGGAACCCTCCTACACTGTTGGTGGGATTGTAAATTGGTGCAGCCACTGTGAAAAGCAGCATGGAGGTTCCTCAAAAAATTAAAAATAGAAATACAATATGACCCAGTAATTCCATTGATTTGAAAAGATACAAGTACCCCTATGTTTACTGCCACATTATTTATAACAGCAAAGATTTTTTATAAAGCAACTGAAGTGTCCACAATAGATAATGGATAAAGAAGAGGTTGATACATATATACAACAGATTATTCAGCCAGAAAAAAGAAAGTAATCCTGCCATTTGACAACATGGATGGACCTAGAGGGTCCAGTGATGCTCTGTGAAATAAATGAATGCTAAGTGAATTAAGCCAGGTGGAGAAAGAAATACCATATGATTTCACTTATTTGTGGTATCTAAAAGCAAAATGAAACAAAATGAAAATAGTAGACTCTTGAGACACTGAGAAATGACTGATCATTACCATGGGGAATGGGTTGAGGTAGATGGGGAAGGTGAGGGGGATAAAGGGGCATCAAAGTTCTCAATTGTAATATAATTGGTCATGGGGGTGGAAGTACAGCATGGAGAATATAAACAATGATTCTGTAACATCTTCCTATGTTGACAGATAGTAACTGCACTAGTGGGCTTGAGGATTTAATAATGTGTGTAACTGCTGAGCCACCACGTCCTATACTTGAAACCAATGTAAGATTGTATATCAACTATACTTCAATAACAACAGAAAGTTAAAATGTTGCCTTACCTCAACCTCTTGCTTCATTTTAATATTTTCCTTTTTCAGAGAAAGACACTGTTGCTCAACCTCTGCTTTTTCCAGAAGAACAGAATCCAGACGTTCAGTCAATGCCTATTTTGAAACAGGATGATCTGTTTACCTAGGGTTAAAAATGGTGGACTGACCACATGCATAAGCATCTCCTCACCTTTCCCAAACCATACTAAAGTACAAATAGAAGATTTTGAAAGGTATATACATAAGAACAAAGAAAAGAATAAAATACAAAAGAATTGAGAAATTTCAACATATTTTTGGAAATTTGAAAGTGAAGGAGTAACTGAGTTAGACATAGGAATAAATATAGTCTATGGACTTTCACAGGGAAACACTAGAAGCTGGCAAATACTCTTTAGAAATTTAAAAGCTCAAAAAATTGGAGGCACCAGATATGGTTGAGGGAAGTAAAATGTGTGGGGCTCAAAAACTAGGGATTGGTTGATACTGTGGTTAGAATAATAGGCAAGAAATCACCTATGTTCCATTTCCCTAAGAGACAGGTTTATTCTCTGTAAAAATTAAATAGGAAAGGAAGTTAATGAAAAGGAAAACAGTTCAACAAGTTAAGATCAACAAAGTCAGTTCTTTGGAAAAAGCTAACCAAACAGACAATCTCTAGGCAAGACTGATCAAGGGAAGACAGAAGCCACAAACAGTATTATGAATAAAAAGGTAACATAAATATATAAATCAGAGGTTAAATTGTTTAATTTGGCACTAACATTTAAAGCTGAAATGAAATGGATAAAAATTCCTAGAAAAATATAGCTTTACTAACTTAAGATAAACAAATTTAAAAGCATTATTAATATATTACCTACATAAAAATAAAACTAGCGGTTTAAAATCGTCCACCAAAGAAAACAGGAAGAATATATAGGTGATTGCTACCAAATTTTCAAGAAACAGATTATCCCAATTACAGATGAACTTGTTCAGAAAAAAAAGAAAAACTGCCAAGTTATTCTACAAAACAGGTACAAGTGGCAATATCCAAGGATTTTACAGGAAAATCAAACCCATTTTACCACAAATCTAAAGTAATCTTAATTGTCAAAGTTAAAATCCTAAATAAACATTATACCACCCTAGAACTGTGTACCTCTGAACTTATTTGAAAATATAAAGAAGTTCTGCTTAAGAAAAAAGAAACAAAGCAGATGTAGAAAAATTCAGAGTTCTGCATCATGTCATAGCTATTCTTCAAACATCAGAATAGAATAAAGCTATTTTAAAACACAAGACAACAAAAATTTTCCTTCTATGAATGTTTTTAGGAGGCTACAGAAGGATATGCTCTATAAAAAAGGGGTTAGCCAAGAAAGTGAATGACAGTATCTAAGCAAATGGGGAGTTAAACTGACTTAGGAACGCAGTGTGGAAATTCACAGGATTATGGCACAAGGCCAATTCCAGGAAAACCATGCAGCAGACCTAGGAAACCACAGACCACATCAGTGCAGGAGGACAGAAGGCTTTAGAAGGCAGGTGGTCCAGGAAAAATACATAAGATTTTTTGAACTGTCTGACCTTTTAGAAAGTAGGAGGCATTGTGAAAGACAACTACATTTCCATCTGCTGTAATAGGAAGTTAATAGCTAAATGTCTGAAATGGATAAATCAAGAAACAGCAGTATAAGCATATTATTTAGAAATACAGAGATAATTTGCAGAAGTTATTTAGTATTAAAATAGGTTATTCAGTTACTAGAATTATTTCTAAATCATGTGCTTATATAACTTCGTTTAAAACAATGTTTTAATTTTGTCACTTTATGTATAGCATTGCAATATAAACTTCTGATTGTTAAATATTAGGGGAAGCCCAAATAAACTGATTTTAGGAAATACACAGAGGCCATTAAACAGATACAAGAAACCTTGAAGGTTAGAGGCACAAAATGGACAGTTATTTCTTAGGAAATATAAATTTAATTCCAGCAAAGAGAAAATAACAAGAGTGCTATGTACAAGAAATTCCAATGTTGTGACATACAATTTTCATCTTCCTCTTGCATTTGGTAGCAACAAGTAAGTTCACTGTAATACCATACACCTCCAATTTTGACATGGGAAATATGGCTTCTTACTCCTCTTTTTAAAATAAAAGATACGTCAGCTTTGCAATAAAACTTTAGATGTATTTCAATGCATTAGAAGATGACTACCAGAAATTTTAATCATAATTAAAACTTGTGAAAAGACATTTTTAATATATGCAGAACAGAAAATTTTGCATTCAGTCACGTTTTTCCCAGTGTACTTTTCCCAATGAAGAGATACAACTTAGCAAGAAAGTCTTTTCAGTTTTCTAGAGGTGTAGAAACATATTGCAGTATACAACTTTTCTAAAATAGAAAAAGTACTGATAGCAGTGAATAACTGATGCATATCTTCCACTTACTCTCCAAAGTAATTTTCTCATTAGGACTGGAAACCAAAGATTTCATTCTCACTTAATTTCACTGAACTTTACTCTTTGAGACTTGCAGGGTTAGGATACTGTGGTTTAATATTAAATTAGTAACCTGAAAGGTAAAACTGACTAACTTAAGAGAAACTTAACTAATCTCATCTTTAAGGAGTAGTTTTGACAGAATGGGAGAACACTTTGATTGGTGATAAGGAGGAAATAAGGGACAGATATTTAGATATTCTGAAACGAAATTGTGCAAAAAGCACTTCCAGAGCTAAGAGTTAACTGATACAAAATTAGAAAAGAATCTCGATGGTTCTCTTTTCAAACACAAAAACCTCCTTTTAGTGTGTGGGTGTGCGTTATTTATCTTTAGGTGTATCTGTATATAAAATATCCCCCACAAATAATACACTGTGATAACAAACAATTATTGAGCAATTATGTGACAGACCCAGCTCTAAGTGCTGTACATGTATTAACTATCTGATTATACAACAGCCCTGTGAAAAGTATTATTATTGTCTCCAGCCTACAGATGAAGGAACTGAGCCACAGAGAAAGAAGTTAAACTTATCCACGTTCACACTGCTGGTAAGTGGGAGCGTGGGGATCTGAAGATCTGAATCAGACAGTCTGGCTCCAGAGTCAGTACTCTCATTAAGTACCATGTACTTGTACTTTGGCTTTCACTGATTAAGAAAATACAAAATAAACTATGAAAATTGCTGTGAATTCAGTACGATTCAATGAACCAGAACATTATAAACCCAGTTGTATTTGTGCATGCCATTCATATACTGTTTTAGCTAAATTAAGAATGAAATAACAGCACATGATCTTCACAGGGATTTAAACATCCCTTGTAATAATTCCCTGGGAGTGCCTAAATTGTCCACTGCTCACAAGTTGGGAACCACCTAATGAGAAAGTAAGATAATATATAATCAAAAAATAGATATCGAGACTTAAATTGTAAATATGGAACAGCAAGGAAAGTATTACTGTAGAGCTTTGAGAAGCAAAGGAAGGTTAGGTGAAGTGGGGGAAGGAAAAAGCATTTAGTAAGCATTATAGGCACATATGTAAGAACAAGCAACTCAGGTTCTTCAACAGGGAAGAACAAGATAAAAAGTATGTAGGACTAAAAAGAGAGCACAAGAGCAATTAGGGAGTTATCAAACTAGGTCAAGTATAACACAACGCATTTAACAGAGCCATGGAAATGGCTGAAAAAGAATAAACTGCAGCATTATCCTGAAGGGAAAACAGGACTTTGGTGACTTACGCATGCAGAGAATACAGGATACATGAAACAGGAGAACTGAAGAGTTGCTAATGTTAGAAGGCCTGAAAAGTTGTGCTGCCTCTGGGTGTCTACGGGAGGGGATTTGGCCATGTTGAAAATGAAGACAGGAGAAGAGAAATGGCTGGATTATTTTCCCCAAACAGTGAGAAATTCAACTGGAAGATCTGGGCCAGTAGTCAGTCCAGGAGTATTATCTATTCATACACAAATTATGTATTTCTGTAGATGATCAGCTCCAACATCACCACCAAAGTCCTGAGCATAGCTGGTTTTTCTGAGGAGTAGAGGAAGAGCAGGACTGAGACAGAGACAACAACCATACTACAGAGCGTGCGGGATGAAAAGGTGAGAGGACACTCTTCAGTTCAGAACGGAGAGGGGCCTAGAGGTCATTGAACTCTCTTTCAGCAGTCAACCTGAGAAGTAGAAAACTCAGCAAAGGGCAGAGAGGAAGTGGAAAAACAGGGACCAAAAGCCAGACAGCACTCCAGCAGGCTGACAGCCTTCAAGAAAACTTATCATTAGACATCTAGATATCATGCAATATTCATGACTGTTTCCTTACCTGAATAATATTATCAGTTCCTCCAGCAACAGGCTTTGATTTGAGTTCTTCAATTTCTTTCTCCAATTCTAATTAATTGTTTTAAAAAAAAATTCAGTTCAGAAATGGAGAAAATAATTACTGGCCAAAGTGTTATGTATATTCTTTAAAAAAGTCACTACAAATTAGAATACATTTAAGCAGCAGCAGATATTTTGAGAAAGTATAACTTCACCCAGTATTACCTTTCATTTTCCTTTTTTCTTATGGAAAACTCCAAACAAATGAAAAAGCAGAGAGAACAGTATGGTTAATCTCCATACAGCCTTCACCTCGATTTAGCAATTATTACATGGCCTCTTGTTTCATCCTCTCCTGTATTTACTTCTTTCTTCCCCTTTCTTTCTTATGCATCCCGAGATTTTGAAGCCAGTTCCTGACATATTATTTCAGCAATTAATAACTTCTTACTGTATATTCCTAAAGCAACAGCTAATCTTATATTAAACATAAATGTTAATCTATTTCATCAACTTATGTCTGGGTCTGGAGTCTAGAACATCTTCAAATAAATTACTCTATCACAAGCTGATCCAAGCCTCCAAAAACACAGTTTGACCTTCTCTAGCAGAAAGTAAGTCTCGGCTTTTAGGCTGGGCAGTCAACATTTGCGAAGTCATTGGACATTCAAAAGGTCACCCACACATACTAAAAACTATGCTAGTATCTTAATTTTATTGGCATACAAGAAGAGGGAAACCGAATAGGGATTCAATCAACTTCAGCAAATAAATACACCTCAAAATTCCAGGAATGGACCTTTTAATTATTTGAGGACTTTTTTGGGGGTTGGCTCATAACCTTGTACCTCGAACATTTCAATTGATTGTTCTAGAAAAAAATGGTTTGCTCAGAAAAACATACAAATCAATTGAAGTAAAAAACAGAAGTGCTTAATTTTAACAAATTGATTTTTAAACTCCACCTCCCTAATTGTAATAGTTCAAGGGTAACTGCAGTTTAGAGATATGAGACAATAAAAAAAAAATCAGGCAAATGGCTAGAATGTTAAATAATAGATTCCACCACACTAAGATTTTATTGGATTACCTGGAAAACAAAACAAGCCACTGTACCATTAAAAAACTAGTATTTTTAACCATGATTAAATGAGACTGGAGTCAAGATGAGTATTTTCAACCCAATACCTGTACATCTTGATTTTGCTTTCTGTATTAGCATCATCTGCTTCTTGGCAAACTTGATGAGGTCTTCCTTAGGCAGTGTTTCCAGCTGAAAGATGGGTGGATGTTACCTATTTGTTATAATGCAAGTTTCTACTATACCACAAAGAAGAAACACAGCTGCCTCCCCAAAAAATCCTACTGAATTAAATCTTTATGTCAACCACATTTTTAAACATTAGCAAATGCAACTTCAACTCAATTTACTCAAGCAGCTACTATGAAATGTAGAAAGTTGTACAAACCCTCTTTAATGTGTTTATTATCATAGGTTAAGACACTTCTAGGTTTTGCTTTCTCTAATTATAAAATCATGGGACTGGGACTAATTATACTTAAGGTTCCTAGCACTCTACAATCATTGCATTCTATTCAAGCCTGAAAGAAGTTTTTGGCCACATGAGAATATATAAACAGAATTACAGCAACAAGATTAATCAGGTTGCATTTGAGCTTTGACTAAAAAATTACTTAACCCTGTGGGCTTACTTTTCTCATCAAGTTGGGATAACAACAGTACTTAATCTCATGGTTACCAGGAAGCTTAAATGAAGTAACTGAGTGGTTAGGCAAATGTATGAAACTTAGTATGCAAGCAATAAACCACTATCATTTAGAATCACTGGTTAACATTGTACAGGGCAATAAAAATGACCTAATTCCAATTCTCTTCGCACATTGCAGAGGAGGCTCAGGAGGAGTCCCCTGACTCCTACCTACGTCACTGCTGTTTCCACTACATCGCATAAATCCTTATAACTTAGATTGCTTTGTTTGATGTTTGAAAAACTGCAGAACTTCTTGGCAGTGCTAGCCAGGGTCAGGAAGTAAACAAAAAGTCGACTCTTTTCATACCAGGAAACTTGAAAAGGTAAAGTAAATAGATGAATGAATGTGCAAATTAACAGAGACTCCTTGGAGTAAGGCTACTTGTCTTAAAGGGCTGCCCCTCTTCCCACGCCGGTATTCCACCCATCACCCTTGCTCTGCGGAGGAGCCTGCTAGGCAGGAATTCTCTTCACCTTAGACTTCCCGGTCCCGGGGGTGGCTGATGGAGCCACCCCATCTTGAGCAGGATCCTGCAAAGCAAAATCAAAGCCGGGTGGTCAGAACTTTTTTCCTAACCCCGAAAGGAACGCGTGGAACCTTTACGGGCAAAACCTTCCGATGGAATCAAGCCATCGACTAACGTGAGACGGCTCGGGAGGGGGTCGGCCGCTGCGGCAGACTGTCTGGAGCAGGCTCTGCGGGGCCAGGTCAGTCGCAAGGGAAGGAGTGTGGGCAGCGCGGGGTCGCCGGGCTGTCGAGCCGCACTCGGCGCACCGCCGCGTCCCCGCCGCGCAGGAGGCTCGGCCGGGAGGCGGGGGCTCCCGTCACCCCGGTGCGCCGCCCGGAACGCGTTACCTCCATGGCCGGCCGCCCGCCGTGACCTGCGGCACCGAAGCCCCACTGCGCGCCACCGCCGCCGCCGCCACCTAAGACGTCGCCACGGCCGCGGGTCAAAGGTCACGCTCCGCCGGTCCGGTCCCACGCCCCTCGTCTCCAGGGCTACGGCCGGGCGGTGCTTCCGCCTCTGCATCCTGGAGGCGGCTCCCCGCGCGCGCCCCGCCCACCGTGCCGGCTTAGCTCCGCTCCCAGCCCCCGGCGGGGCCGAACCCAGGAGGGTGTGGCCCTGCGCCGCGGGGATAGGCTGTGAGAGCGTGCATATCGCGCCTCGGGGCCACGTCTTGCAAGTTTATACAGTCGTGGGAGAGTGACGGGAAAATATGCCAGGGACAGGTCCCCACAAGGCGCCTGCCGTTACCTGGCTCTTTGGGGAAGTCTCGGAGGCCTGGCACGGACAGCTGATCTCCGGGGCTCTTGAGACGCCGAGCTCCGCGGAGCCGCCCCGGCCAGACTGTTCGGGAAGGAGGCCGCCTGCCCGCAGCCCTCGTGGCTGCGGGAGGTCTCAGGCCGGGGCTCTGCCAGGCTCTCGCGGTGAGAAGGTGGGTGGCCTCTCCCCGGGTTGGGCCTAGACGAGCCTCACAGGGGTGACGGTTCTATTTGGGGCCCGTCCGCAAGCTGCAGCGTCCCAACAGCTCTCCAGAAGCCTCCCTGTTTGCTGTTGCCCTTACCTTCCTGTTAATGTTTACAACAAATGCCTGTTAACTCTTGGTTTCCTGTAGTTTGATAGGGTGGAAAGCATGGAAGAATGCAGTAGTATCCCATAAATGGTACAAATAGAGGAGGAGCAGTCACTGTGGACGCCACGGGGGCCTCGGAGCCTCTGCTGCTCTCACAGTGTGGCACCGGGCCTTCGGCTGGGATTGGTTTGGGGTGGTGCATGATCTGTATACAGTAGGTGAGGTCTGGGACTTTTCTTCCTGTTTTGGTTTAGTGATAATATTTTCTCTTTCTTTGACTATGTCTTAAGAAACATACAGCCCTAATTGCTGTTTGTAGACATTTGCCACTGGGATGGAACGCAGCCTGGGGACAAAATTGATACCAGAAAAAAAGCAGGGCTGTAAGTCCGGAGAAAGGAAATCCCAGGGCAAAATACCTCTAAAAACCAAAATCAGTGAAAGGGAGAAATAAAGTTTGAAACCTGGTTTTTGCTTATACACTGCAGTGCAGGGCCATCTCTCTCCCCTGCTCCTGAAGAAGCAAGCCAGCAAGCAAGCAAGCCCCTCCCTTTAAACTCTCAGGTTCAGACATGCCCTCGGTTGCCCAGGTATTTACCCACTGACATGGAGATGAACTTCTCTCCACCCTGAGGATATGCAAATGCACTAAAACCAGGTGAGTTGCTCTGGAAATGTTACAATTTTACCCACAGGCCACCCCTCCAGAAATCTCCTTACAATCTACTCGTTCCCCTTCTTCAGCAATGGTCCCTGGGTGAGAAAAGGAGCACCACCGTGACCAGACTAATGACATAACAATAGCATCAGCAGTAAAATCATGACAATCCTCAAGCCAGAGGATTCAGCTAGGTTCAAAGTCTTATGCAGATTAAGTCCATAGCTCATCCATTCCATACGCAGGCAGTAGCTGAGGGTTCAGAGCAATCATCAGGTGGCAACTGCAGCCTGGGGGGTGCTTCAGGCCACCAGGACCTTAGGAGAAAATAACCTTAAGGGTGATAAGATACATGTTTTAATGACACCATATGGGGAAGTTGGGGTCCCTATGGCCAGAATCCACACTGAACTTAAACTGCCTGATGATGTAACTGACCTATTGCTAGGCTACTGCTTCCACACCTTCAGGCAATAAGCTATTATTGTGCTATATAGAGAGCTCAGCCCAGGGCTCTGGGCAGAGGTAGAGATGCTAGTGCTAGACCTACCCCCAGAGAACAAGCTAGGTTATAAACACTTTCACACCAAAGAGTGTTCTGCTGTCAGTTTCTTTGGTCACATTGAATCCATAGCGAACTAGCCCGGGGCTGAAATCCATTGGCAAGACAGACCCAATAAATGGCAGCACAAGAACTTGAGCTGCAAACTTCTGTGGATTCCCTGAAGAAGGAAATGGCACTGATGTGGGAGGAGGCAGCATGAGAATGCCGGCAGTAAGATGCCATTGGAGAGGTAAACAATTCTTTATAGAACAAGATGACAGCGCTGCCAGGTGTTCTGAAGGAGGAAGAGGCAATCAAGGAAAAAGATGAACTCCCAAGGGAAGCACAGGCGGCGGTGGAATGAGAACGTCAGCTGCAAAGCATTGAGCTGAAGGTAGGAGAGCTTCTGAAGACTGAGCTAGCATTGCTGTGAGGCACAGTAGCAGGGGAGGCACTTGGGGGAGTGGAGAGAAAGGTGCCATCGGCCCCTGAAATGGAGGAGCTGGGGAAGGTTGAAGGGGTGGTGCCGGAGGCACTGGCACCTCCTGTATTGAAAGCACACACAGTGGTTGTAAAGAAAATAAAGACCCAGCAGCTTAAAGTTCCTCAAGGAGAGGAGCAGCCCCCTCCCCAGGTCGTGGAGCATTCTATGGTCTATTCCTATAGTCAGGCTGAGCTGGTGGATTTGGTCTCCCGGTTTAGGCAGAAGCCCTCAGAGTCAATATCAGCTTGGCTCCTGCGTCTGTGGGACTTAGGGGTGGATGGAATTGTTCTGTCGGAATCAGTGATGGGAAAGCTGTCTTCCCTGACAGTGCAGTCTGCCTTGAGGCAGCGATTACAAAATGCACATCAGACCCCAGGGAGTCACTCCCTCCTCGAATAGATTATGGATGCACTTAGTGCTGTGTGGACCGATCTGGGTGATCTGCCATCCTCTCCTGTTAGATGACAAACATATGCTGAGCTCCATCAGGTGCTATGAGAGCTAGGCATAAGAAATGCCATCTGCAGTCCAGAGGATTAAGGCCCAGATGAAGAGATTTTCACTGCTGGGATGAGAAATATTGTACTTCAAGTGGCTCCTACATCCCTCTTTGGGTCTCTATTGGCCATTCTTTCCCCTCACTTAGGGCATCCCATAAACGAGGTGACACGTACAGTAGCAGACTTAGAAGAGGCAGAAGCAACGAGAATCCAGAAAGAAAGAAGACCTGTTACTCACAATAAGAATTTACAGGGCCCTATGAAGGTTATGAGGACTCAGATGTGGGTTGATTTAATACGGGCAGGAGCAGATGGAAGGAAATTAGATGGGAAATCAAATAGGATCTTACTGGAGCTATGGCAACAGCTGAAACCAGAGCAGCAGTTCCAGCCATTAAGACCAAAGAGGCAGAGGTCAGAGACAGAGCCACAAGTCTGGCTGTGTGTTTGCAAGACTTCCTGCTGGAGAACGAGCCAACCTCACTTGAGTCCACACAGGAAGGTGATTGGAGAACACAGTGTGATTGAGGGGAAGGTCAAGGTATCCACCCTGATGGACCTGGGGGGAGGGGGACTGGAGGCCACATGTTGAAATAGCTATCCATTGGTCCCCAGTGAACATACAATGTGTCCTGGCTCTGGTGGACTCAGGCTGAATGTTCACTAATTCATGGAAACCCTGAGTGGTTCCCCAGGACCCCCCACTATCATAGACAGATACGGGGGTAAGGCTATCAGAGTGATAAAAGCCCAGATCCTTTTGGGAATAGGGCATCTATCCCCCAAAGAGTATACCGTGTATATATCTCCTATCCCTGAGTATATTTTGGGGATTGATATCCTGCAGGGTCTATGGCTACAGATGACTGCAGGTGAGTTTAGACTGGGTGTACGTGTGGTGAAGGCAGTTCTGAGAGGACATGCTAGGCACCCACCCATAGCTTTGCCTGTGCCTCGGAGGGTGACTAAAAGCAAACAATACAAACTGCCTGGAGGGCATAAAGAGATTGAAGAAAATCTCCAGGAGATGGAAAAGGTGGGTTTTACAAAGCCCACCCATAGTCCTTTCAATTCCCCAGCGTCGCCAGTAAAAAAGTCAGATGGCTCCTGGAGTATGACTGTGGATTATAGAGAACTGAATAAAGTCATACCCCCTATGCATGCTGCTGTCCCCACTATTGCAGGCTTGATGGATACCCTCAGCCATGAACTAGGAACATAACATTATGTGGTAGATCTTGCTAATGCCTTCTTTTCCATTGACATTGAGCAGGAAAGTCAGGAACAGTTTGCCTTTACGGGGGAAGGACGGCAATGGACTTTCACTGTCCTTCCACAGAGATACCTCCACAGCCCCACCATCTGCATGGACTTGTAGCCCTGGACTTGGCTACATGGGAGAAACTGCCAATGATGCGGCTGTACCATTATATTGATGATGTCATGCTCACATCCGATTCTCTTTCACACCTAAAGGTGCAGCACCTAGACTGCAGCAACATCTACAGGAAAAAGGATGGGCTGTGAACAGTACTAAGGTTCAGGGACCTGGTTTCTGTGTCATATTCTTGGGGGGTCGTCTGATTGGGTAAGACCAAAGTTATACCAGAAGCAGTTATAGATAAAGTCCAGGCCTTTCATACCTCTACAACTGCAGCATTGCTAAAGGAGTTTCTGGGTCTTCTAGGCTACTGGAGAGAGTTTATCCCGCACTTGGCACAAATTCTGAAGCCTTATACAGGTTGGTACAAAAGGGTATCAGGTGGGACTGGAATGAGACATGTGCATCTGCCTTTATTACAGCAAAACAGGCAGTCCAGGCCATGCCGGCCTTGAGTGTAATAGACCCATCAAGGCCCTGCGAGCTGGATGTTCATGTCACTGAAGGTGGTTATGGCTGGGGTCTCTGTCAGCAGCTTGAATGAACTCGCCAACCCATTGGATTCTGGTCACAGCTCTGGAAAGGGGAAGAGATACGATACACTTTGATAGAAAAACAACTGGCTGCCATGTATCACATCTTGTTGGCTACAGAACCCATCACTGGACTGGCCCTGATAAAGGTAATAACCACCTATCCCATCTTGGGGTGTGTACGAGACTGGACCCAAAAGTCAAGGAGTGGTGTCGCACAAACACCCACACTAGCCAAGTGGGGTGCTTACCTATAGGAGCATAGTGCCCTCTAGTAGCCCCTTGAGTGAAGAACTACAACACTTGTTGGGGCAGGTGACATATACTAGTAAAAAGCAGGAAGAACTTGCTTTTGAACCATTAGTAGCAAAGAGTCCCTATTGGGAGGGAAGAGCCCCTATACCAAAAATGCATGGTATATAGATGGCTCCAGCCGTGGGAAGCCCCCAAATTGGAGGGCCATAGCTTTCCATCCTAAGACTGAGACAATATGGATGGAAGATGGTGAGGGGAAGAGCAGCCAATGGGCAGAGTTGTGGGCCGTGTGGCTTGTGATCAGGTAGGAGCCCTCCCCTATCATTGTCTGCACTGACAGCTGGGCTGTCTATTGGGGCTTGACCCTGTGGCTACCAACCTGGTACCATGACAACTGGCTGGTTGGTCACCAACCCCTTTGGGAGCAAGAATTGTGGCAAGACTTACGGGCCTGTGGTCAGACTAAAATATTTACAGAATACCATGTGACATGTCATTTGCCACTGGCATCTCCAGGAAATGATGAAGCAGGTAAATTGGCCCAGATATCTTGGTTAGAAGGAAAGCCTGCCTCTGATGTAGCATTTGTTGCATGTGTGGCAAAAGACAATGTGGGCTGTAGCCTGTTGGTGGGGCTTGCCTTTGACCTTCGAAGAAGTTAGTAGAGCCTGGCAGGAGTGTGTTGTGTGCTCCAAAAGGTTCTTACACCGAGTTCCACAGCAAAATGGAACAATAGCTAAGGGGCCTAAACGCCTCATCAGGTGGCAGATAGACTATATTGGGCCTCTACCTGTGTCAGAGGATATCGGTATGCGATGACCTGTGTGGACACAGCTACTGGACTTCTGGTTGCTTTTCCTATCCATTGTGCAGACCAGCAGATGACCAACAGAGGCCTGGAGGGTCTCCTTGCTGCCAACCACAGGTAATTGAGAGTGATCAGGGCACCCATTTTACTGGACATACACTGCAAGAATGGCTGTGACAGCTGGGGATCAAATGGAAGTTTCATGTGCCATACAATCTTACCACAGCAGGCATGATACAGAGGCACAATGGCTTGTTAAAATTCGGACTAATGTCAAATACCAACAGTCTGTGGGGACTTTGTGCTATGGCGTTTGAACAAGAGACCCCAAAAGGGAGCCCTGAGCCCCATAGACATGTTAACACGTATGGCTGCCTCCCCTATACAACTGCAAGTACAAACCAAGGAAGAATCACTGAAGCTGAGGTTCGGCCACCAGAATAACATCTTACTGCCAGCACCAACTGCACTGAACCCTGGAGACTCCACGAGTGGATGTGGCATTGGACCTTTTGACACATGCACCAACGAGGGCTGGCTCTCCTGGCACCTTGGGGACAAGGACTGGAAACTGGCCTCCTGGGTATTCCTGGAATAACAGCAGAGTAGCTACCAAAGGTCACAGTAGTATGTCTTGAACAGCCAGAAGGTAGGAGC